AATTCGTCTTCCCCGGATTTTTTTCATTCAGACACTTTTGCATCTGACGGGATTTTATCAGACGAGCATCTGAAACTTAACTAAAGAAAATTTTGAAAAAGAGGGGGTGGGACAACGTCACGGTTTTGACGCGTGATTCAAATTCCTTTGTATCCTTTGGAATATTTTTATTACTGTCGTATATACACACACGCACAGACAGCGTTTCTCTAGAACTTGGTACCGGTTGAGAATAGAATCGTTGAACTAGAGGAAACAAAAAAGGAAGAAGGTCTTTGATCGCCCTCATGTCTTTCGATCAATCTTTTTTTTTTGTCGGAAATTCTGGGAATCCACGGTCACCTTGTACCTTTTTTTCGGACCTTATCAGTGAGCCTTCCGGGTGTCGGTGTATCCTGGAGGGGGGGGGGGGGGATGTCGATGCACGGATATTTTTAAAGACAGTATGGATTACGTTCCAATCCCTGGGCGTATTTAATGACGGGGAACCGACCTGTCGCTTCCTCATCAGTATGTTGCGACTTCCTGGTCGTTGATTACTTTCCTCTTTTCTCTAATTTTCCTTTTTCTCGATGATTTTTTTATTTGTCAAATTTTTATTCGGATACTTCCCGTGAGTCAGTCGTGCTACAGCGAACCCCGCCGACTTCCAATGCGCGTTACTACCGTGAATTTTCTTTGTTCGGCTTCGGTTTCCGCGGACATTGTCGAGGGATCTTTTGGCCTTGCTTCGAACAATTGAACTGTCAGTTAATTCGCAAACTACCGTGTGCAGTTTTTTAATGCCTGAATCCGCCATTTTAAATCCAAATTTGCAAGGTAATTAAAGCCTGACTCGTTTGGAAGCTCGGCGCCATCTGATCGCTTATGTAAATCTCACGGTTCTTAAATTGAAGAACTAAGACAATCTTCCATCACTTCGAAAATGTCCAGTTCGTTTGTAAATAAAAAATAAGTCTCCCCACAATATTCGCAACTCTTTCAAAAATGTGAAATCATTTGAACAGATTGAAGTCACGAGATTGCTTCAAGACATTATGACATACAGGTTTCAACTGGATTATCTCCCACATATTTACTTTGATTATGTTTTTGTTCACGCAGGTCTATAATCCCAGCTTAAATATTTTTGGGCTACATGTTTTGGAAATGTTTGAAAAATAATTGCTCCAAATACCAAAATATCTGCTGTTGAAGTTTAATGAACTCTTTCTGGAGAGATGAAATGCTCTGCAGCTAACCCTCCCTTCCAAATCTTCTCTTCGAGTTATTTTTTGCAGAATATGTCAAATCAAATTTTCAAAGTCGGGGTGGGTAATTTTCTCGCAATAACGTGGAGACGTCGGCTACGTTTATTCTTCTAGAAATTTCACTTTGTCTACGAAGTTCCGTTCGTTAGCAGATATTGTACCTTGGGATGACTCAAATCTTTTCTTTTTTTCTCCTGGGTAAAAATAAAATAACCTCAACGAAATGTTTTACCGTGTCAGACGGGTAATTATTTTGCCGGAAATACCAGCGACTCCTCGAAATCATCCGACATCTTTCAATCATTTTTAATCGGTTTAAAATGGGCTTTTGATTTTCCAAGTCGCTCGAATTCGAGACAAGAAAGGAAACGATTGTCGCCGTCGGAACGATGACTGTGATTGATTCACATGGCGTCACTGGGGGGCAAGTTAATTGTCGAAACCCGCAAGTTTCCTTAGGCAACCTCTCGCCTTTTGTGTCTGGTGTGCAGGGGGGTTCCTTAGAGGGGAAAATTTTTGTCAGCCGGGGTTCCCGGTAACCGGCCTTGGGAACGGCTGCACTGAAGATTATTTTCTGAAGGGGGGGTATTCAAAACATCCCTCCTGTAATAAAGTGCTACCTGTGGCCTTCTTCCTTTTTTTCGTTTTGGGAAAGGGGTGAGAAACAGGAGATTCTTCCCCCCCGAGAAGTTCGCGACGTAGTTTTCGCAGTTGCCGGGGAGATTTGGCAGGCGCGGGCTGCTTCTTCCGCTTTATCGTGACAAAATAATTGAATTACATTTATTGTTTGTTTCTAATTATCGTATGAACTCGTTAGTCGTGCCGATTCGAATCAATCATTTTGTGTTCCGGGACGAATTTATTGCTCGACTGCCCCGGAACTTATCGATGCGCTTTGACTGGTGATGAGTGAGTCTCGTCGATTATTGATGAGCATCGTAATTATTTTTGCGATGTTTCGTGAAGTTCACTGACTTCGTTCCTGTTTGTTTTTTAATCAAGCCGGTGAAAGAGGGGTTTAACGTACATATTTGTAATTTAATTTATCCTGTGATTGAAGTACAGTATAGCTAATGTTACCAGAGAGACATGAATGTCAAAACTTTGATTGGCCTCGCGGAAATTCATATTGCACTACATTTTAATTGCATGAGGATGTCGAGTGAAATGTCTGAAAAATGTCGAAGTCATAGTTCATTCTTTCTCTGTTGAAATAAATATTTCATAGCTGTAGTTTATTCAGGGTGAAGGTATTCGTTCATTAGTCAGGTTGATTGCAGTTCGAATGCTCTGTGCGGTTTTTTCTGAGATCATGAATGTGACATTATTTACACTCACGTAATGCGTAATCCATGATCGTATGGAGACACTTTTTTTTATGCTCGGAAGCTTTCTGAATATTCAAAGGATATTTTACATGGTGTATCTTCACGCATAATATTCCGCATCCGGGTGTTTTTTGCATGATTCCGGGGAAAAAGGGTGAACGCGGATGTTAGGATTCTTAAGTGACTCGCGTGAGTAGACGGCTGGTGTTTTTTATCAGAGTCACCAACCCCTTGATAAAGACAACTGGGGTTTCGGAACCCGACATGTTGGGGGTCTTGATTTCTGTTCTGTCGCGTATTTCGGGTGGGTTTGTCGGAGATTAAGCGTAGACTCAGCGTGTCTGTCTGTTCTTTCATTGTGTTGCTCGGATGAGACAGAAAGAGCATCACCTTTCCGTCGACTCATCTTCCACGTTTCCGATCTGAAGCAGGCCGAGTCGAGCGTGTCGAGGACTCATTTCCTCGACCTGATCAAGTTTTAATTTTATCTGCGACGGATGTGGGAAAATCTGGTCTGATTTCCTGTTTCAGTTCGAGTTCGAAACGCGCGAGATCCGCACTGCTTTTTCGATTTCCATTCGAATGACGCCTATCGTTTCCCTTCGGCATTTCAGAAACTATGAACGAATTCTACCTGTCGTATTTAATCGAGTGTAAATTTTGTTTCTTCTCGAAAAATTGGCTCTCGTGAGTCTTAGATCTCGATTTCGTAAGTCAAGTTTCTGATTGCTTCCCTACTAGAATTCCGTTCAATTTATTGTAGTTGCCAATTAATGCTTGTGAACTCTTAATTTGTTAGTGGTTGGCAAGGCTGAGTTTGTCATTGTAACATAGCAATGAATCAGAAGCTAGTCAGACGTATTTGAAATTCAAGAAAGTGCTTTTTCTGTGTCAGCGAAATATTACTTTTTAAAGCACAAATTCAGATACAGTACTTCTCATAATCGATGGCACTTCTTTGAGTGGGCACAGTACTTTTTCGAGTTGACAATTTTTAAAATACTCAGTGGAATCTCCATTATCAGTGATCATTGCCAGTTGCACTGTTCCTTATGATCTTTATTTGCGTTTCGAAATTATTGCTGTGTCTTGGAATGTTACATTTCCCTTCGTAAAATTTGATGTGTTGTAGATCCATCTCTTGAATTTATAATTGAAGTGGCTAATTGAAAGCACACCGAAATGCAGAAATCCCTGTAATTGACTGGAAATATTCTGGTCCTGCTTCGATTCGGAGAACTTTATTGAAAAGATTACTTTTTTATCCTAAAAATCCAGCTTTTCGGCAGAATGTTAAATTTTCGTTTAATAGTTGTCGAAAGGAATTGGAATTTACAGACATGAGCATCCTCTTGTTATCGCGTGAGTTCAATTATTGCGTTACCGAGGGTTCCTTGCCAATTAGTGGCGAAAATCAAGGGGGAAAATCTGAGCTCGTGACGTAATCCGACAACGATTTACCTACCGTTTGAGGTCATCGAGGATTTCATCGCTGGAGGAGAATAATAAAGAAGGAAAATCCCGGGTAATGTTCTTCTCCTGCATATGCCCGCAGGGAGATCATGTTATCATATAACAATAGAAAAAGAGGGAACATCGAGGGACTTCAGAGAGCGGAAAGCAAAAAGCACCCCTTTTTGCCGCGCCCTCAGAAAACGTCCATCCTTACGTTTTGCCCTAGAGCCTAGTTTACCGCCTAAACCGCGACACCGAGCGGTTGGCGGCTCCAGCGTCGTAGGAAGCGTTTAGCAGAGATGTGTTGTTTGTTTGAGTTTCCGCGATCATTTCATCGATTACACTTCATTTGAAGAAATTTGACTGAGGAAAACAAAAATTCACGTCATGTTTTTAATGTGATGATTTCGATTGTTTAAGCTAGAAAAAGTGAATATTCGTGGTTGATATACGTGCTTTCTGCTTGAACTGCAGCTACGTTAATTTGTGAATTACGAATATTTTCCGAATAGGAAATTTTCTATGCATTTTTTTTTATTAATCCGTTTTCAATTTCCCCTTCGCATATTTTGTGCGAAGTATGGTACTCTCGATTTCATCAGGCATTTATGTCTTCGGTTTTGAACGTCTTAAGAAGACATTCAAAATTTGAAGAATTACGTCCCGGGGACCCTCGAAGTGGGTGGTTTACAAATTCGACATTTTTTTTCTAATTGAAATAACGTTTTTTATTTTACTTCTAAAATTCCCAGAATAATAAAAAAAAAAAAACGACCGAGCAAGGTCGCAAGCCACCGCGCTGGTTGAGGCGAGAATGCGTGAATATTTTCTGGAAGGAATTTTCGACCCCATCATCAGTGACCCTGGGGGTTTTGGGAAGCCCTCTTTTGACGTAAAAACCTTGGCGGGGACCGATGGGGAGGGTACATAACTCTGGGATCCGTTGTTTTAATTGTTTTCTGCTCCTTTTGTGTGTCCTTGCAGGTTTTCTCGAAAATCCGGGTGTGAAAGTCCGACGCCGATTGCTGCGGGGTAGTTCGGGTCGCGACGTCACTTGCCTACCGGGCTGCGTGGAACCCGCTTTTTAAAATATACAAATTCCCCCTCCCCCTTTTCGCGTTAGTCCCGAAAACAAAGGAAGACAAGAATACGAAACCGGAAGAGAACACAAGAGACAAGAGAAAGAAATATAAAAAAAATACGGAAGGTGTCATAATAAAGGGAGACACAGTGACGAGGAAGCGCCGCGAGATGAAGGTGCCCCCGGGGTCCGTGCCGGCCCCGTTGACGCTGAACGGCGCCACTGGCGGCGGTCAGGGCTTGCACGGCGGCCTGCCGTTCGGCACAGACATTTTCTGGAGGTACCCGATGCTTCTGCCGCATCACGCTCAGCCGCACACACCGACCACGCCGACGACACCGTTGCTACTGGACCTCAGATCTCAAATGCCCCACCATCTGCGTGAGTGATGAACATAATAAATAATCAAAAGATAAATGAACGAAGCGAAATGTGTAATGAAAATAAATGCATGAATTCGAAAGAACAACCGAGCGTTTTATTAAAAACCTTAGGGTTGCTAAAAGTGTATGCGTAGATCTCAAGTCGAAAACAAGTTTACTCTAGTACGTTAAGTCGCTTCGTTCACTGTAAGAACTTCTTCTTTTTTTTTATTCTGAGTAGCATCAACGGAATTCGGGAATATTTAGGTATTGGAATTGTTTTACTGATTTGAAAGTTGAAAAAAAACGAATTCAGGGTGAAAAATCGCAATTTCAACGTTTGTCCACCGTTATTTCGGGTTTGATACAACCGTTATTGCATTACGATAAATGATTAATGAAATTTCGTTACACCTTCTGAGCCCAGTTACTAACCTTTCCAGCAGAGCAATGTTTACCTATGTTTTTCTTGACAAGCATTTGAATTTAAAATTTTTCTTTTATAGTAATACAGTATTTCTTGTTGCACAGAAGTTACCTTTTCGTTTAGTTTCAGAAAGTTTTCCAGGCACAGGTTTGATCCAGAATCACCTCCGAAGAATTATTTTCTCCCGACATTCAACCTTATACTGTATCTGGAAAACATTCTCATGCAATTACGTTTCAAAGTAATTAAAATTACTTATTCCTTTTTCTGGAATTTTTATTGATGCCTCATCAATCTTTGCGGAAAATTCTGAAGATGCGCTGAAATAAATGTTTCGTTCATCAAGACGCAAGAATTTTCTTTCATCAAGCAGTAAGTTTATTCCGTCGAAATACAAATTTTTACGTTATGACTTGAATTTTCCATCAGTACTTCATTTTTTTGCTGACCTCAGTTACATAAACAGTACTTCATTTTTTTGCTGACCTCAGTTACATAAACTGCCTCTTGGACATGTTAATTTCCCTCCTCAAAGCACAAATTTCCGTGTAACGTTGATGAAAGGTTGTGTTTCGATAATCATATCTTAACATACCGCTGAAATTCCGCAGTATTTTCTCAATTAATTCTGATCAAATATTTATCCGCAGCTGTTGACCCGAGGGCATGGTCCAGAGACGATGTGACTTCTTTCTTACGTTGGTTCCAAGAAGAGTACGACGTTCCGAAAATTGAACTCGAAAAATTCTTCATGAATGGTGAGTGAATCTCTTCCAACTCGCAGCGCTTGAAAATTCAAAAAAATCGCGTTACAATGAATCCTTCGGGAACTGTAAAATAGCTTCTTCACAAAGAAAATTCAAATAGCATTTTGGCAATTGTGTATGGCCCTAGAAAACGAAGTCATCGTAACCGATTATTCTTTATAACGAGATTCTACTGTATGTCCGTCGATTGTGTTCTTGAGCGAAAATCAATTTTCGGGATTTGAAGCCGTTTCGAGAGATTCACGATTTCAATCGGAAAAAATGCAATCCTGAATTACAATTTAGTATGGGAGGTAAATGCATTCTAGAATTTCAAGATTTCGAAGAAAACGCTTTCTTTCAAAATCAGTTGAAGGTTAGACTTGGGGAACGTGAAGAAATAATGTTGAAATCTGATCAGTGTTGGAAAACATCTCCTGAACTAAGAAAAGTCCAGAAACCTGGGAAATTCAGAGAAAATATCAAAGTTTATCGATAGATTGAAACGAAGTTCATTTTTTCTCGTTTATGCTCGTTTATCGATAGATTGAAACGAAGTTCATTTTTTCCCTTCAAATTTCCAGGAAAAGCGTTGAGTCTGCTGACGAAGCAAGACGTTTGCCAGAGGGCGCCCGGCGCCGGAGACATTCTGCACAACGCCCTCCAGCTACTCTTGGCGGCATCTGCAACAATGCGGTTCCAGCCGCCGACCCCAGCTTCAACAGTGCCGCCACCGAATCCGTTATCCGGTCCGGGCCTAAGCCCACCGCCGACCCACAACGGCAACAACAACAACAGCCACCATCACCACCACCATCATCACCCGTACTACAATGTCGGGGATCGGAGGAGTCCGCATTCGGCAGCTGCAGCAGCCGCCGCGGCGGCTGCTGCCACAGTTGTCGAACAACAGTTGGGTTCTCACTTCCTGGCGCCGCCGAGCTCTGTGACGTTGAGTCCGGCGCCTTCGACAGACGATAATAGCACGTCGGGTAGCCCGAAACATTCGGGAGCGGATTTCCATGCCCAGCAAGCGTTGCCCATGTTGGCGGCGGCTGCTGCTGCGAGGTCACACCAGGCGGCGTTGTTGTATGCGACCCGGAATGTCCACGACCACGATGGGTCAGTAAAAAAGTGATTTTTATAAGTCCCTCAAATTGTATTCACCTCATCCTGGTGACATGGAATCCTCGGATAGAATAACAAATTTTTATTAAAGTCCCTAGCTTGAATCCATCCCAGGCCTCCTGGAAATTTTCATAAATCTTTAAATATATGTGTGTGCCTTCAATAAAATTGAACAGTTGTCACTGGCCTGAAATCGCCTCGTTCTATTCTGATGAATGCCATACAGTATGTTGAGAAAATTACGCTCGACATTGAAATCGAAGATCATGTTACAGTATCAACAGATCTTGTCTTCTGTTGAGTATTTTATAAATACCGTAAAAGTACATTTCTTGCATTGTACAATCACCGAGGAAGATTGAAAATAAATTAATTTTGATTTCATGTGATGTGTAATCGGTCATGTGATCCAAAATTATTCCATGTTAGTTTCTTTGTCTTCATCTGTCTTGAATGTTGATGCAAAGTCCGATTATACTTTTTCCACCTAATTTACTCAAGATATTGCCGATTTGTCGTTCCCCGTTTGTTGCAAATAGTTTTAACGAATTTCGAGGTTTCTTGTAGGGTTTAATGTTCAAAATTTGAGTTTCTTGTTGGATATTTCTGGATATACCACGTCATCTCTCGATTGCAAATTTTCTTTTGATATTGTGCTGTATTCAATATCTGAGGATTGAAATTTAATTTTTAAATTATGGATTAACCAGGTCGAATGGAATGGCTGACCCGGGAAACAGCGGCGACAGCAACGGCGCCAACTCGGACATGGAAGACAACGACACGGGCAGCGACGGGCACCGAGACCACGGCAGCCCGACGAGTTCGGGATCCTCTGAAGGCAACGGAAGTGGACATGCCAATCACCAGATTCATCACATGCCCAAGCTGCATTCGGCCTTTGGCTACTCACCTTCGTCCCCTGGCCTGAGGCACAATAGGTCTTTGTCCCCGGGATCCCCCGACGGACTAGACTCGCCCAACGGTGCACAGATCAAGGAAGAAGTCGTGGAAACTGGCTCAGGTAAATTATTTGTCTTAGTTGCAATTTAGCTTTTTTTTTTTAAATAAAATATTGTGTGTATTTCGCGTTATGAAGTCGAGTCTGCGAATGCACAATCTTTCCGATTTTCAGTCATTTTTGCATCTTAGGGATTTTTTCTAAATAATGAACAGGTAGACTTTCTACAACAGCCTTGTCTGTAACGATTTTCTCTCTATAGAAATTTTTTTGCTCCACGGGGTTCTCTACAGCTATTTTTTCCTGGCCCCTTGAATTTCGTTGTGAAGAGAGGTCACCTGTATTTTACGTTTATCTCAGAATATGAATTCGACCCTGCAAAAGGTGGTAGAAAGAATAAAAGAAGCATTAAAAGGGCCTTTCTGCGCTTATCTGGTTTAACCGAGTGTAAGTCTCAGTTGAAGGAGAGCGGAGCACTCAAAAGTATAGGCGCAAAGCATAAAAGGAGGTTTCGACTAGGAAAAAAAAGAAAGAAAAGCTCATCACCGCCTTCTATGATCATTTCCCGCCGCGGCGACATTGATTCTACTGCTTATTATTTCTCTCTATTTCACTGACTTCCCGGTCTCTTTTTTTTTCCTTGCTTATGTCGCACTTTTCTTTTCCTGCACGTCGATTTCCCGTCCCGCCCGGAAACCGGGAGTCAAGGAGGTTTTCTTTTTTCGCACGCGCGCTTTCGCGGCATTTGCGTTATTGCCGATGCCCGTGATTTATAAGCATATTTTTTTACGCTTTATTTTATTTTTTGGACTGCGGCATTTCGGCCTCTTTATCGGTGTGTCGTAAACAGACCGCCGCCCGAATGAGTTTCGATATGGCAAGCAAAGCGTCACTGTGGGGAACCGGACGGCGGTTTCTCACCCATGCACCTTTTTTTCCCCCCTCCATTTTGGTGCCTCGCGCGATGCTTCTTTTTTAATTCCGTCGTCTTCCTGGGATGTCGCTTCCTGTTTCGTTCTCGTTTTTATTCGGGAGTTTTGATATTTTGAACGCACAAAAAAACTCCAGTCGTTCGCTTCCACCAGAAAGTTGTTGGTGTTATGCGGAATTTGTCGCATGGGACGCTTATCGCCGAACTGAAATTTTAGGAACTAATTGCCAAAAAAATTATTCGCTTTTAAAGCCCCTGTGAGACGGATGGAAAACCCCATGGGACCAAAAAAATTTTTTCTATACCGAGAAAATCGTTGTAGACAAGCTCGTTGTAGAGTGTTTGCATTCAATGGGATATAAGATGCAGTTTTTCATTGCATAAAATTTTATTAAAACGCCTATGAAATACGGTCAGTCAAAATTGTATCGAACGAATTTTGATAGTGATTTAAATTCCCAAACGCTGTGATCATGCGATTTTATTGGTAACTAAACATACGTAGTAGAATGGATACTTCTGAAGAAATCAAAAAATCTTTTGCCAATGGAAGGAACCCCATGTTTTTCCCCCTTTTTTTTCAAGGCAAAACAATCAAGGTAGGTAATTTCCATGTTTTGTAAATACGGTGATACTCTCCACTTGACAAATTTTTAAACACTGTATGTGAAATGAGTCACTGAAAGTAATCTCGAGTGAAACGCCAACGTGATTTTCGGGATGTATGTGAAATGAATCACTAGGAATGACGTAACTTTCATATGCGATACCTGGGTGTTTGTCGCATATTTTTGGCTTCTCAACGTTTTTTATTGAGTCGAGAAAACATGAGATAGAAGTTGTTCTATTAGTCTAATGAATGTTTTTTTCGTGCAGGTGGACGTCTGTTGTGGGACTTTCTGCAGCAGTTGTTGAATGAACCGTCACAGAAGTACAGCCATCTCATTGCGTGGAAGAACCTGGATACCGGGGTTTTCAAAATCATGGACCCTGCGGGCCTGGCGAGACTCTGGGGCATCCAGAAGAACCACTTGTCCATGAACTACGACAAGATGTCGCGCGCGTTGCGCTACTATTACCGTGTCAATATTCTCAAGAAAGTACAAGGAGAAAGGCATTGTTACCAGTAAGTATCAACTATTCTCCGAGAAAGAAAGAAAAAATCTGCGACAGAATGCATCATCAAATTTCAAGCAGTCTAAATGATTTTAGGCCATTATATTTGTTCCTACTGTACTTCCTATGAAATGTCCATCATTCCTTATTTCGGGTCCTTCCTCTCCCGAGAGCTATAATCAATCATCCAAGTTTTTCGAGATGGGGGACTGATAATTTTTTAACATAAATTTACACGTTCAAACTGAAGTTTGAAAATTTGTTCCATATTATATTCAGTATTAGCTTGTTCTTAGAAATGTAGAAATCCTTCTGATTCGTTCGAAGGACAACAAGAATTTGCACTAGATCATCTTTGGTTCTTAAGTCCCTGTGAACAGTTGCATCATTCAATGTTTTCCATAAGGATTTCCTTTTCAAAATTTGTCATTATGTTGATTCAGGGACGTTACTGCATTTTATAATGAATTTGACTAAATTTGAAATTAATGAAATGCGATGTTTTTTGGCATTCAATGCCACTTAGACGTTTCTAGATTTTGAAGCGTAGCCTGAATGCAGTTTCAAAGAATGCGATGATAGTTTCCTTACATTCATATAAAAATCTTGAAGTTTTGTTAATTCTAGGGATATTAACGTGTATTCAAACCGGCATTCCTAAATTTTTTCGCCTGGCATGCCTAAAGATGTGTAATTTTCTGCTTGCAGATTTCTCCGAAACCCGTCAGAGCTGAAGGGGATCAAGAACATATCGCTCTTGCGGCACCTGCCGCCACCGTCCCCGTACGCAATGGAGGACGCCAAGACGCCCAATGGTCGCGTGCCGCCAACGGCGTCCTCGGACGACGTCCCTCACGACCTGTCGATCCCCAAGTCCGAGCTCCGCGACTCTCCCGTCTTCACGTTCAACGTGGCCCACACGGGGCTCGTCAAGTCTGAACCGGGTTCCGAACCCGGCTCACCAGCACCCTACTCGCCCAGATCTCACCTGCCACGTCACCGTCTCCAGGCTGCCTACGACGAGGCGCCCACGTCCCCGATATCTGCCATGGACTGCTCGCCCCGCGTCGAAATCAAAGCGGAGAAAGACTAGGTTCAGTCTAACCCTCCCCCTGGAACCCATTTCCCCGTTTGGAAAAAAAACCATATCCCACCGTCCGTATTTCACCCCGCAAATTAAATTGAGCTTTCCGCCGTAGAGAAAAAATCTTTCTCTCGCAGGGTTCTTCTTGAAATTTCATTTTGGTCTATGCACGTATTTTTCCGTTATAAGAGAAAAGTTATTGGAAATTTTTATAATTAGTGTACCTCCAGTTTTCGCACATGCCGAATTGAACTCATGACGAACGTGGTAGAACTTCCAATTTGTTGCTGTGGTTAACTTCATAACTGTGTGCAGATTTCTGCCAATTCTTGCTTACATAACAGTATCCTCAGGTATCAGGTGAATGCATAATCTGCTGAAGTATATGTAATGTGGCAATATTCAATTTCTCCCCACTTGAAAATGTTTTTCTTTTCAACATTTGTTTCCCCGATGTTCTTCAATTTCCCGTGATTAATCAAAAATGTTCCTTACGACCGAGAGAGTAGAGATTAAAAGTCTCAATAGGATTGTGTTCAAAAAATTTCAAGACGCAAAAATTTGCTTGCAAGCAAGGAGTTTCTAATAATGGAATTTCGAGAAGACCCTATAGAAGTGTTTCATCTTTGATTGTGGTGACGTCGGTGTTCGAGTGTTGGAAAAGATTTGAGGGATGCTTTTTTCACGTGTGGGTTTTGCACTTGCAAGGCCGATTGAGACGAGATAGGCATATGAGAGGAAATGTTCGATCGAGGCTCGAGAAGTGTGGCGGGGAAAAAGAAACGAAGTTGAGTGTGATTTTTTTTAGAGCTCTATGTAACGAAATGGGGGTTTGCTGTTGCTTAATTATTACTATTTTTTTGCTTGGAAGAAAATGAAAAAAAATCACTGCCGTTTCACACTGGCGATGAGAATAACGTGAATATCGCATTTTGTTTGGAAGCGTGGAGGCGAAGGATTCGAAAAAGCGGGGTGGATTGTTTGTCTCTTGGTCTTTATAAAAGATTCATTCACAAATTTTTTTTGTACAAGTGTTGAGTGCGATTGGATTCGGATCAAAGTCCTCCCGGTTTGTCCAAGTTTTGCGTTAATATGCAGTTCTCGTGGAGAATTATGAGTGGTGAAGCGCGAGGTTTTTCTTGGTTGTCTGAAGGGCCTGTCCTTTTCTCTCAGAATTAATTTTAAGGGTGATGCGGTTTTTCTCTCTTTTTTAAAAAGATATTTTTGCCTGAATTCGCACTGCCACGATGTTTCCGGAATTGTCTCTTTGTTTTCACCTTACGGAGAAAGGGTCGGATGCGTGTTGCGCGATTTGCATTCCTACGAGGCGGGATGGGCAGTTTTTTTTAAATGTTCACTGCTTTTTTGCATTCTTGGGCATCAGCTTAAACAAACGCACGAAGCTAGTCTATCGGTTTTACACATCACTTTTTTCGTGGCTTTCGTTTTCCTGGTTGCACGACCAGCGGTTTTATTTGACTCCGTTCATCTAATTTTGTTTCCCCTTGGCCGCAAGAGTCTCAGTTCCGTTTTGTCTTTCGGACGAAGTGCGTGTTTGTCAATTGATTTCATTTTCTATAAGGTGGGCATAGTTTCGTTAGACTTAGTTGTCACGCAAACAATTGATGGGAACTTGAAACCAACCATCGGGAACGCGACTTCTTTTTCACGATTCATGAAACGTGTCGGCCCCCTTTTTCTTCGTTCCGTTAGCCACGTCGGGTCTTTGGGTTTCCACAAGTTTTGTGAGCAGATTTCATTTGGCCACGCAAATATTTCACGGTTAGCGAGATGCGTAGATATAAGGACCATGTGTTTTCTGGATGTGATGGAAAAAAATGCATCGATTTAACTGAACAATTCGGAGAGGTGATGAGAACTTTTTTGGAAGGTTTTTATCCTCGGATTCCGCTGTTGAATGGAATGATGACTACAATGCACTCCAGGTTTATGTGGTTGGATTTGATGCTTGAAGTGGCAACGGGAATCCTGAAAATAGACGTTGATCGTTTTTCTGTACTCGAGTGATTTGTCATTTTTCTCTTCATATATTTTCAAATCATTCCCTTGCAGTACTGTATTCCGACGTTTAACGCTTTGGGGACGGAAAGGATTTGAACATACAGTGTGACCCCGAGATACAGATGATTTTACTTTGAAACAAAAATGAAAAAACTCTCCCAGCAGAAATCTGGACACTTATCCATTTCTAGAAAATTTGCATTTGAAAAACAATTTTTGATATCTCTTGAAAATTGAGATATTTACATTCACAAAAATTAAAGATAGCTGTCATTACGAAATTACGTTTAATTCACAATCAAAAACGTTGTGCTTTTTTTTAAAGTTGTTTACATATTTGTATAGCAAGGCTTTTTCTTTGTTTTTTGAGCTCCTTTTGATGTCAAAAGATCCGATTACATGCGGTTATTTTCTGCATTGTGAAGTTGAGAAAACTTTTTTCCATTTTCTGTGTACAGGAGGGAACAGTACTTAATCTTACTTTTTGATGAGCAGAACCACTTAAATATGTTGGTCTATGGGAAAACATGATCCAACATATGGACAAGATCTAAGCACCAAACATGACTGCATTCTGGGGTCCTGCTGAGGCTTACCCTGACAAATGGAAAATTTCACTTCAGGGAGACTTCACATTTTATCAAATCTGGCCCAGCATTTGGACAAAGTCTCAAGATAGAGACACACTTTTTAAAAATAGAAGAATTCAATGTGACAAAATTTTGATAATTCTGGACACATTTTTATTTTCAAAAATGTGATTTAATTATACATTGAATCTAATTCATGTTCAAAAACAGAATAAGTTTATGCTTCTTGTTTAAGTTTTTCCATCATATGTTCACAGTACTGTGCAGCAAGACTTGCTCTTGTTCTTTGCTTCTTGAGCTCCTTTTGATGTCAAAATATTATATTCTATGGAATTCTCTTCTGCCCAGTTATCTTCTGTTTTTTGAAGTTGAGGAAAACAATTTTTATTATACTTTTGGGGGACTAATTCATAATTTTTGAGAAGCAGGAGAACCAATTAAATATGTTTGCATTCAAGTCTGTGGGAAGATGTGATCCTGCATTTAAGGTTCCAACAATTTAAGGACAAGTTCAATTAGGCATAAATTATGTCCGCATCTCGGGGCCCCACTAGCTGTATTTTCTGCTGAAAAAACATATGTTTCAGGTATAGGCAAGGCACATCCGCCAGCAAGTTCAGTGCATGGACGTACAGTATTTCCTATATATACTGCTTGTACTGTATATGGGTTACAGTCGTTACAGCTTTGCGTGATCGTCCATCCGCGTCCAATAGCTTCGCTCCCTCCCGCCAAGTGGCGTCCCTCGCCGAGGAACTACGGCGTCCCAAGGCTATTTGATTGCTTCCTGTTGAAGGCGGCGAAAATGCCTTCGCCCAGCCAAGCTCCAAGTCGAAGAACAGACGTTCGTTCGGTTGGGCTGAGTTTATTGTGACTGTACAAGTGCTGAAGCTCGATGAGGTTGTCGGAAGCGGACCTCGTTGTTCAATTTTAATTTGTTTTTAAACCTCTAACATGAGCTTTTCATTCGCTCATTTATTCACGAGTTGAACTCCGTATTTTGTCAGTTGAGCGTGTTAATTCGTGCCGAGAATTCACTCGTCGCATTAGGCTGATTAGAGTACAATAATATGCTTTCATATTGAGAGGTTCAATGCAAATGTTTCTGGAAAACGAATCTACCGTATAAGTGAAATTTGCCGCGGCTTCAAAATTATTCTCACATTTTTGTCTGCATTCCGGGATGATCCATCATGAAATAGTGCATGTCATTCCAAGTGGTTATTTTCTCATGTGGGCAGTATACTGTACTATATTACCCTATATAGGAAGTGTTTCTGTTCTGCGTGGCATAAATTAGTGTGATTTGACTCAATGGAAGACATATCTGATGCATCAAATACATGGATCAAAAGTTTTGTCAGGACTCGACATTTATGTTCGTTGGGTGGTGAACTTGGTGATGAAGAATCCTTTCAACAATTAAAAAATGCTGGATCAATAAACAACTTTAAGCAAGTTGTTAATTTGATCATTTTTTTTAATCGATTGTCTAGACTTGTAAAATACTGTAATGCCTTTTAAAAGTTCTTGCCCATGAATATTGAACATTTTATGCAACATTCACATGAAATTAGCAAATATACTCCAATATAGAAACCCGGCGACTATTTAAAAAATGATCAAAGCTACTAGTGTTTTTGATGGAATCTGGACAATACTTGAACATATTTGGGTCGATTTAAAAACTCTTCATTTTTCGTTTTGAGATGTACAACTACCGTAATAACCATAATTTTAAAGGTTAAATTTAAAAAATAATGTATGAAAAAAGCTGTATTTTTCTTGGCGCATCAAATCAGTCTCTATATTCGCCCAGAAAGACAAAAAGAAAGGATAGGAGTAAATAGTCGGTGTCAGAACTTATGAATCGACCCTCTCTTTTTTCTGTTTTGATTATAATTCATGAAATTTTAGAGATGTTTAACAAAATTCCATGTGTGGGATCTATTGCGAGAAAATGGCTTTCGTACCCCCTTCTGTTAGTTGAACCCATGAATGAATCTTTGGGTTGGGTTCTGAAAACGGACTTGCATATATGAACATTAAAAAAAAACCATAATAAAAAAAACACCGGCTGTGATGACCGCGCTCCGAAGCGAGAGAACTCGTAATTTTATTTTCATAATTTCGAGTTCGTCACTTGTCGGTCCTCGCACCTGAACCACGTTTTCGTGACCAAGTACTGAACGTGAAGTACCGCATTTCACTCGTCGCTCATATTTTTTTCTTTGCTGTTGCCTATAGAAGAACCGTCAGAGGAATGATGATGAATCCTCGTTTGCGAGTGCGTCAGTTTCGTGCTACTTCCATGGACCTTTTTTTATGTGGGATTCCTGTTTGCTGTTGATGCGACAGCTTGATTGTTCAGCACTGGTTCTCGACTTTGCAGGGTTAATGGGTACAGCTAGTGCAAATTAGAGCACGACTTTTCAAGCAATGGTACATTTTTAAAGAGGTATATACAGAAATACAGGATCAAACAGTGAAGTGGGTCCCATACTAATCTCAAAACTAATTTGTTCCAGGTTTTTCTTTTCTGAGAAGGGTGTCAGAAATTACCTTCATCAGGTTACATTTTTAATTGACTTTTCTTAATTATTCACAATCTGGGGCCCCGACATGCGGACAACTCATAAAAACTTATAATAAATTTGGTATCTGGACATTATTGTCCAGAGATTGGGACTCAGCCTTCATTACAGGAAAATTTAGACAATCAATTTTTTTTTTAATTTCTGATGCAACTTCAATAATTTTGATCTTACATGCATGTATAAAAATTAAAAATAAATCTCGTCATAGATTTACTTTGATTCATAATAAAAAGGCTAATTTTGTACTTCTCTTTTTAGTTTTCCCCCAAACTGTTTACAGTGTGAGAGTTTTGTTTGTTTGCTTTTGGTTTCCTCTTCATAACAAAATGGCAGATTCTGTGTGGTTTTATTTTGCCCAGCTATTTTAACTAACATCATAGTCAAGAATACTTTTTCTGCAGACTTTTTCAGAGTTTTTGCCAAAATGGAAAAGAATTGAAAAACTTTCCCATTGATGTACAGTATATGGGAAAATGTAGTGGAACATACAGACCTTCTGACTCACAGACACAGTCCAAGAAGTACATTTTAAGTCTTGCATCTTGGTGCACAATGCATTCAATAATTGACGCGTTTTGTACACCTCTTAGGTGACGCTGGAATTAAGATATAAAAATTCATCAGAATTTATGGTAAATTGGAATTTACTGTGAAGACCACTTAAAGCTTGGACAACTTCACCTGGTCCGATGAAAATCTGGATGATCTACTGTGAGAAACCACAACATCAATCAAGTTGTTTATTTGTGCGGCATGTCAGGCAAGATTCCTGAACTGCTGGACGAGATTATTTACCAATAAAAACTCCACCATGATTATGCGTTAAAAATTCGAGGCTATACCACATTTTCTCAAGTACTATATGTGCCCTTATACATAGAGGAAGCGGACTTCAATTAAAATGGGATGCAAATAGCTTGGACCCTAAAAGAGGTACTGTATAATCGTAAAAAAGCTTTTTTAGAGAGGTGGACTAAATAAACCTAGCACGTTGGGAAAAATTAGCAAAAAAGGTGCGAATTTCAGATTGGTAACAGATGACAACAAATTAAAGTCTATTGAGTGCTTTAGTAAGCTTCCGAAGTGCCCAAAGATTGAAGTTAATCTTTTTTTCGCTATGAGATCAAGTTCAAAACCCTCTGTAACGTTGTATCAATTTTTTTTTTCACTGTGAAACTTCTTTTATTGGTTAATTAGTTTAATTTTTTAATAAACTATTTTTCCAAAGGACTCCGGGAATTGAAGTTTTTTAGATTTGAAGGAAAAAGTCTCTGAGTTAGAGATAATATATTGTTCCTGAGCGAATTCAGGCAGGGTCTAAACACAAATTTGACTTATGTGGGCAGGTTTAAGTAAATGAGATTCAAAGGGAATCATGATCATATAGAGCTTGTATTACAATACGTTTTATTCAAATGATTCTGCATACTTTTCAAAATTCTCAATGAGAAACTTTTTTGCCAGAATAACTTACTTCCAAGATACTATGCTCACAAAGTAACAATTATATAATTGATTTTCTCTTTCCTGTGTCAATAAAATAAAAAGCCTCTAGAAAATTTGAGTCATGCAAGTTTGAGAGAAGGAGCCTTTGATTTTGATATTTTTTAATGCATTGTTTCTTAGGGAATCCAGATGGGGACCAAATAATTGATTTAGGAGGCAGTTGAGTTATTGAGGTTTAACTGAATATCTTTTGAGTTTGTTATAATAAATTATCTAGATGCATCATCAGAGCACCTTCTTTTCTCATGCCCAGTATTCCACAGCTACAGAAACAAGCTTCTCAAAGATTTGGGACTTTTGAAATTCAATGAAAAGGCTCTTTCCAAAATCTTAAAGGACCAAGATGAACTGCTTAATTTATATGATTTATCTTCAAAGATTCTCTCAAAATTGTTCAATCAACTAAGCCTTATCTAGGAGCACATGTTGAACACCTTGTGCTTTAAATATGGGTTTAGTAATTGCCTTGCTCTGCAATTCTTATTATTGGCATTTTGCTTTTGTTATCAGGGAGGGGAAGAAAGTGTATGCATTTACATCAGTTGTGCAATGGTACATTTTGGGATTTATTCTCTTTTCTTTCAATATGCGGCTTATTTCTCTGTTTTCCTTTCTGATGTGATGGAATGTGTTTGGGTGAATTTGGGTGGGGATGGGGGTTTGGATGCAGGAACATTGCTTGAACCTTGTGAATGCCAAAAATAAGCAGAAAATAATGCTTGCTGTTCAATTCAATTCAAAAATTATCTACAAAAACAAATGTTTTTGCTTGTTCCACTGGCTTTCTTGTAAGGATATTTTATTTACCATATTTACTCGAGTACCACACGCACCTTTTTTCTCAAATTTCAGAAGAAAAAAAGGGGGTGCGCGTCATAAGCGGGTACAAATTTTTCAAGAAGTTTTAGGAAGTTATGTGAGCATTATACTTAATTATAAGGGAGAAATTTGGAAAAAAATGCAACAATAAAACTTTTTTGTTGTGAAAAAGATGAAAATTGATCAGATTTTTGTGCAATTTGTGTCTAAAGTCAATTTTTTGTTTTTATTTTCAAAATTTTGTGGTTTTAGATTCACTAAAAATTGGGGTGCGCGTCTTACTTGGGAATAAGATTTAAGCCAAATTTCCAACTGAAAAACCCCTGTGTGCGCCTTACTTGAGGGCGTGTGGTACTTGAGTAAATACGGTATATCATGCAGCAGGATTAAATCAGATGCTTGTGGAAAGTTATTTCAGCCTCTTCCCCAGGAAGCTGGCTTTTTTTTTTTTTTTCGTTCAGCCGTGGACAGAATTGTACATGGGCATACTGTATTAGTATACGGGCCCACGTCTGGCCGGGTTAGGATCGCGATGTGATTCCTGGCGCCCATTGCCCAGCACCATACGGCGGTGCTGCTCATTGTGGGTCGCATAGGAACTGGAAATACCCGAGGCGAACGAGTCTCGTTGCGGGGAATGGGGCCAAACGGTCAGCGTTGTATTTTACTGGGCGACCGTGTGCGCAACGCAACCGCAGGGACGCCGCCGCGGGAACAGCGAGCGAGGACCGCCGACCAGCGGCGCCGCCATGCAGTGCTGCACTGGGCTTGATTCGGTGTCTGTCGCCTGATCGTGAAGCCTTCTTTCTCTCTTTTTTTTGGTTTCTTATCCCGGCTGATTAGCAACAGTGATTATTATTTATTATTATTCTGTCCCGGAAAGAAGTGAGTGCAAAAATCTCGTCGAGAAAAGGTTTGGATTTTTGTTTTTAGAAATTTTTGTAGAGCCGAGTTTCGTTTTACAAAGTCCTTGAAATTGCGGTAATTCAGGGTTTCGTATAGGGGCTGAACCGAAGAGTCGAGTTTGCATGCTTTTGGAACTCGTCTGATACAATTTATTTCATGTTGTGGTTGTTCCAAAAGCTAGCTTACGATTTGTTTTGGCGTTTCGTCAAATTTGTACAAGTTCATTCTTCCCATTCAATTCCTCACTTTAACATCAGTGTAAATTTACTTTTTTTTGCGTTAAGCACAGATTTGTATGTTGCTAAAAATTACTCTTGGATAATCGAAGTCTGAATTCCGACGCATCTCACAGACTTCAATCTTCAATCTTTGGGCATTAACTTCAATCTTTGGGCATTTTGGAAGCTTACTAAAACACTCGCTAGACTTTAATTCATTGTCATCTGTTACCAATCTGAAATTCGTACCTTCTTTGCTAATTTTTCCCAGCGTGATGTTTGTTTAAGGGGTACGATCAAGTCGGATTTTCCCTTGATCATTTGAAAGTTTTTTTTAGGAAATATTCCGAAAGAATGTGAGCATTTGGTTTAGATTTTCATATACAGTGCGGTATAATTTAAAAATGCTTGGATAATTTAAAGGTAGTGGTTTTTAGCTTTAAAATTTTCAGGACTTACACTGCAGAAATATTAATGCTGAAATTTCAAAAGTTCAATCACGAAAAATAATCAATTTTTGAAAGTTTGGAATACGTGTTTTATGTAAAACAAGCACTCGCGCAGTTTGTCTTCATGGGAATTTATAATTCGTGCTGTGAATAATTTACTAAAATTTTTCTCTCGAGTTTTAATTGTACTTTGTCAGGACATCCGGGTTCCCGAGGATTACGATGCAAAGGTTTTCGCTCCTCTTGCGTATCTAATTTTATATGCGCATGTGTGTTTTCAAGTGTGGGGCAACAGACCTCGAGATTTTTCCTCGTCATGAAAACTTCCTGGAATTCTTATCTCTGTTGAAAAAATATCTCCACAGGCTGCAGCAAAAATTGTGAAATTCGGATAATACGCGCAAAAAAAGTATTTCACTTCGAAAATGAACATTTCATAAAAAATTTAAGCAACATCACATTGAAATAGCCTAAACGAATCATATGGAAATCATGTGAGAGGAATGTTCCTATGGAAAAATTTCTGTCAAGCATTTTTTCCATTGACATTTACCTCTGAAATGTCCTGAGTATAGGCCGCGCCTTCTATAAGTTCTTGCGGCCTATGGCTATTCTAGAAAAGCTCTGTTACAGTTGAACTTCTCTAAGTCATTATTTCTAGGGACCATAAAAAATCGACTTAAGGAGGTTTCTAGTTAGGGATGAAACAAGCATTTGTTTCCAGAAACATAAAATAATTGCAGGGAATTGTAAATGGTGATATTCTGCACCTTAGAAATTACTTCTTCAATGAGTTTACTGTAGCGTGAACTTGGAGGCAAGAGTTCATTTGCCAAAGTAGTCTGTAACTTCCTTTCAAAACACATTGAGTTACTTGTTTTATTGCTTTTATTTTTCATGTACAGTATCAAGGCGATAACAGCCAAAAGGAGGCAGAAAATTTGACTTACAGAGGGTTAGGGAGGTTTTTGGAATATTTTTTTTTTTCAGGAAATTCAGATGGGGACTTTAAAATAATTTGGCTCTGGGAGTTATTTGACTTAGGGAGGCTTGACTTATCAAGGTTCAACTGTAAAAGCTTTTCGGCTCATTTATTTTGGGGATTAAAGCACGGCAAGCTAAGAATGATTCCTCACAATAATTTCGATTTGGTCACTGCTGTATTGTTACAGTATTTATCTTTAAAGAAAGGTAAAAATCAAAGGTTCCTTGCCCCCATCTGGTTCCAGTGGCACTTGGCCAACCGGTCCTTGACACGCTTTCTGCCTGTGCCGAGACCCAATCAGTGATGACGAACCTCGTCAGTCGATGCTCGGATTCAGTCCGGTTTTTGAAACGGTGGTGTTGCAATCGGGGTTTGGTACTTTGTCGGGCTTCAATGCATTGCAATATTCCATTATGTATCGGTAGCTGCGATTTTTCAAAATGTGCTTCAAGGAACGCCACTGGAAACCCCAGCACGATCAAGTGCGACGATTGGTTCAGGTCATGATCTGACAGAACCCGTATCACTGGATAGAAACTGGGTGCTGAGGATTACTGAATTTTTCTGATTAAATTATCTGTGAAAAACTAATGGTTATTTTCTTGCCGTTAATGTTTTTTGAGGACTGTCAACGAAATTGTTGCAAACCTTGTTTACTGGATTCCAAGTCAGTATTCTTGGTTAAATGCGCATACTTTTTTTCCTCAATTGATTTCAATTCCCATTTTAATTGGTATATAATTCTCTGCACAAGTTGACTCTTTCGTGCTTTAAATGATTAAACTGTGTAATTTTTTTATATGATTCAGTGAAGATATCTGGATATTCAAACATTGCGAGACAAATTTTCATCAGTGGTTGCAAAGGTCGGTTTACACATTGTGATTACTTTTATTTTTATTCTATGTCCATAATTCAAGATAAGAAAAGACATTTTCGTCAGTCTTGAAGTTCCAATTGTAATAGACGGAATTTTAAGTCAAGTACGGTATCAACATTTAATTAGTTATTAACCTTGTTTCATATACAGTATTTGCTTGATCAGGTTAATAAATGGAAAAAGACAGAGTTGAAGTTGAACAGCATCTAAGGGAGAATATGAGGTTTACCTTCACATGCATATTCTGGTTGTTGAGGTGAAACTAAATACAGTACAGGTGCTACCTTACAATTTGACCCTGATCTGTTGCCAAACTAGGATCAAATCGGGAATTTGTTGAATTGCAAGACAGTCCACTAAATGTAAAAATATAAGTTTAAAAATGCAAACAAGTGGCCAGCACAGGTCAAATTGTTGGGCAAGGGTTAAATACCTCCCTGCAAATTTGACCGTTGAATTCCAGGATGGTTGAATTGCGGGATGGTAAAATTGCAGGACAGTTGAATTGCAAGATACCACCTGTATATGAAAAACAGTACCTGGAAAAATCTTCTTCATGATAATGTCCAAGAACTGACAATCATGTCCGAACTAAAAGCAAGAATGTTTCATGATACGGCAATTTTTGTTATGGTGATGCTGATTGGGGAAGCTACCAGAAAATGTCATTTGGGTTTTAAATTTATTCCTGAAACTAAAGATATTTCGTTTTTAATGTATACAGAAAGTATATTTTGATTATTATTCATGTTGACCACACAGGTTTGGAGGATTCTTGATTCTCAAGTTCGTGTACGGGAATCGGCAGACTTCAATATACATCCTCGGCTTTATTTCTTAAATTCATGAGTTTCAAAATTTGAATCACATTTTATCCAGAGGACATTAGACGACGATGTAACAATATGACGCTGAATAGGACGATGATGTAATGTCACGAAAAGACATGTTCAAAAACCCCGCAGGCTGTGCTGAATTGTTTCTAGTCGCGCTGACGAAACTTATCAACCAACTCTCAGACTTGCACAACCTTCGCTTCTTTTGTAAAAAGCAAAAAAAAAAAAAAGAAAACACTCCTGTGTTTTTAAATATAAAATTTGGCGCCTTTCGACAAGGGTTTGCGTAGATATTTTTTTTCGAAATTCTTCTGTTATTTTGAAATGCCTTGTTTTGGTGAGATGAAACACGAGTTGGTGAACCGTTGGTGAGAATTGAGCAGCGAATGACGCAATTCGGAAGCTCTGCTTCGAGGGCTGCCTTTGGCTTCGTTTCGGGAGTCGTGCTTTTCATGGTTGTGAAATGCTATAGGGGAGATTGCTATATAGTCGATCTGCTTGCAACACCCTGCTTTTTTGCATTTTTATTCATTCATTTACAGCAGCTTGCAATTTTTCTCTGTTTTTTTTTGGTGGAAAGTACAGGACTGTTCTGTAATTTTCATAATTTATAATTGTGGTAAAGCCAAGATTGAGTTATCAAGCTCGATCTGGAATTGGCGGAGCATCTTTTGGGGTCAATTTTTATGGCGATGCCTTTCCGGAAAATTTTATTCAAGTCTTTTTTCTTGAGTTATAGACAAAATTACAGGTTGTTGAGTTGCAATTTCAACCAATTCAAATTGCGAAGCGGTTGAATTGCAAGACACTTTGTAAAATTGAGAAATATCAGCACAAAAATGCAACAACAAAACATGGCCAGAGCAGGTCAAATTCCAGAGCAGAGGTCAAATTGAAAGTCAATACCTCTGTGCAACTTTGACCATCAAATTGCTGGATGGTTGAATTGTGGGAGGTCAAATTGCAAGGTATCACCTGTGTTCCTATTACCTAATTTAAAGGAGTTCTACATTAAGCTTTCTTCTGTGAGAAGAAAAGCTTAATTAGGAATCTTCGTCTTCAAGAAGCTGAAGGCCTAATAATTTACAGCAAAAAACCAACCTTTGAAATTTTATTCAGCATCGCGTTTTCTTTCAATTTATGGTCCATAATTGGCAAAAATCCGTTTTAAATCTTTTTTGAATCGAAAAACGCAGTTAAGACTTTCTACCTGAATCATTCACGCGTAAGGTTTTATTAGTTCCTAATGTTCTAAAGTTCTAACTATCCGAAGTGCCATAAAAACGAACTTTTCTCTCTACATTTCGCAAATTTGCGTCATTGTGAGAAAAATTTTTCTGTTTTGAGTCAATTTCACACAAAGGGGACCACTTAGGTAAACAAAACAAAAATATATATGTATGACAGATATTGCACAAGAATTTAAGAAAAATTTGAATGAAGAAAATAAACCACACCAAGAACCAAATTGTCCAAGAAAAACGAAGCATAGAAAAACTTCGTAATATGCACTTGAATACTTTTTGAAGGAAGTCCGTAGTATAGGTGAAAATTTACTAATATGTTTGATCTAAAATTATACTTTCGTGTTTTAAGTATATTTGGGACTGACTATGAATGTCTATATATAGTTGAAACATTCAAGAGAGTACGGAAAAAAATGATGCATTTAAGAGAACTGAAAAAATTTCATATCCCACCCTTGCCTCTCATTGACCTTTTCTGTATAGTTGCGGCATTTTCTCCTCGCCGGCATTTTCCTCCTGACCCCCCAGTCTATTCAACTCGCATCCCGTCTTCAATGTTTTGACCTCAGTTGCTGCATTTCCGACTGATATCGATAAAAGGTGAGGAATGAAGAAGAAAAAAAGTCAGCCTCGAGGGTTTTTTTATTTTTAGACACAACCTCGTCGACTGAATAGAATAGAAGAATGCAATAAATTGTCTCCTTCGAAACTATGTGCTCATGAGAAGCGAAACAGCGTGACTCGAGTTCATGGTTCAGGTCTTCTGCGTCCCACGCCCTGTATGCGAACTGGAATTCGTCATTGAACTGCGGTTGCTCCTCGTCTTTAATGTGATGCGACTGGGTTTCTTTGAGCCACAGATCAGCATTAGTGGATATTTCGTGTCCTTGAAAATTAGCCACGTCCTTGCGGAAATTATTTCCGGCTTAATTTCTGGTTTTATTGCTTTTCCAATGCATCAATTTTAATTTTTGTTACAAGTCTGGGAGAAAAAAAAAAACTTGATGATGGGTTTGTGGAGCTTTGTTAGTCTTGACTCTTGAGGACTCCTTTATGGATGTAAAGTACTATGAACCCTTGGACAGCAGTGCAAAGTTTGACTTTTTTTTTTTTTGGTTGGGCCTGCATTCAATTTTTACTCAAGGTTATGCAACCCCTGTCAGGTAGGGAGGGGCAAGGTTGGATTTTATCTGGGATAAAGAAATGCTGGGAAAGTCCTAGGTTGGACTTTTTCCAAAGTGACCTCTAACCCGTGCTCCTGGCTTTCAAGCTTGAATTTAATCTTAAATGGGGGAAAAGCACAAGGCCAGGGGAAAAAAGTGAGCCTTTCAGACATAATTTTTTTTCAACTTAATAACATGTTTTTTTTTTAATCTCAGGATTTTCCAAGACTTTGCTCTGCACACACTGTCATGGTTTTTTTAATGTCATTCTTGAGTGCACCCAAAATCTGCAAAAAAGTCCAACTTTGCTGCAGAAGGGTAATAAATACTGTATATATTTACAGTTGAACCTCTACAAGTCAAATTTCAAGGCACCAGCAAAAAATTTGAGTGATTCTATCAATTAAACAAGCATTTTTCATGGGAGGGATAGAAACACTCATGAAATTGTAAATGTTGATATTAAATTGCTCCTTTAAATATGTTTTCAGGATGCTGAACTTGGAGGCAAGAGTTCATCTGCCCAATTAGTCTGTCAGATCCTTTCAAAATGATCAAGTTAATTTTTAAATTTTTTTTCCAATGTCAAGAAAATAGTATCCCAAAGGTATAACTAATTTAGTTAGGGAGGTTTGAGATGAAAATCCTTCAAGTTAGAGGCATTTTTAATGCATTGTTTTAAAGGGAATTCAGAAAGGGACTATAAAAAATTGATTTATGGAGGCATTGGAGAGGTTCAAGTTTTTTTTAAGGCTCAATTGTAATATTTGTCTAACCTACATGGAGAACTTAAATTTCAACTGACCAAAGGTTGGTATAGAAAGACAAAGACAGAGTTGAAAGTGCACCTCATCCCTTAGAGGAATTCAGGTTTCCCTGCCCCTCATGAGTAATAAATTTTTTGAATTGAAATGCAACCTGTTAAAAGCCACAAAATTCATGACAATAATTCTAAAAAATCTTCTAGTGAGAATCGCGCAAACGGTCGAGACAGCGATTGTAAGAATTGTTCGTCTTGCATTCTATTATTAAGCCTCAACTTTAAGTAAAACCGGTTTTTTATCCTTCGGTGACATCATCAGAATGACAATCTCCTTTTGTGGAAATGCAAATTATTTATAATCAATGTGAAGATTCCTTGAAAGGTCAATCTGTGATCAGAAAGGTGCTTCAGTCATTGCAAGAACTGAAAGAAATAATCCTTTACAAATAAATACAGTAAAAAATAGCTTTAAAATATCTTCTGTGTCCCCACAGTGGTTCGAAGGATGTCAACAGAAACCCGGACATGCAACAAACTTCTGTTTGAAGAACTAACGAAACTTTTAAAGCTTCCCTCGTATTTTGTGCCATGAAAGTGTTACCAAAGCGCAAATGTCATCTCTTTCACACCATACACGGCAAAATTGATCCGCGAAAGTTCGCATCACTAACAGATTATTATTAAACGACATATTTCAAAAGCTGTTTCATGACAGGAGGTCAAGTCACTCACAGCTGCTCACTTTAAAAAAAATGCAATAACCCATTCATAAACTTTTTTTTGCCGCGAGCCAAGAGAAGAAAGGCGCACAAAGATTTAGATAATGTTGTGAGCTCGTTTCAAAGTAGCAGGATGATGACTGTAATCCAATCTTCAGTCCTTTTTTTTTACTTGTTCATTTCTTTTGGTTCAAGCCATTGGCTTACGAAGCCTCGGAGTACTGGCCAAGGTACTTTCCAGATGACCGCCTTTCGCTCTGGTGCACTTCGAGGGAATGTGGGTGACGTGTGGATGAAAGAAAGGGAAAAAATAAATATATACGGTATATAAAATGTACACGCTGTTCACAGTAAAAGACAATCATCCAATTAATTTTAATGAGGGAAGCAAACGCTGAATATAATTCAAGACGAATCCAAAACGCTTTCAATCGAGATACAATGCTTATATGAAAGAAGCAATTCAAGAAATTGTCCCATAATTGTATTCATCATTCAATCGAAACTTGGATTAGAGAATAGACGAAAGCATCAAAAGCTCATTAATTTTAATCCCACGCTTTCATAAACATTTTGCACCGTCTTTTTGCTTGCTCTTAAAATATTCAGGAAGCATTTCGATCATATTATATAGTATCGTAACTATGATTTATTTCTTTAGCTTTCCGAATGACACACAAAGTCGTAAATCGAACGCTCCAAGAATAATTTATAACGGGACAGTAAGAAAGAATGCTGCCGGGCCAGTATAAAAGCATGATCAAATGGTATTAAATAGTCTATATAAAATAATATACAGTAATAAGAGACCAAGTTTTATGGCCGAGTTATGTACGCAAGATTCCATTCACGTTCGACGATCTGAAGTTGATTTCTTGGATAAGCCAAAAGTTCACCCCAATCAAAAGACCAGCATTTTAAAAACGTTACTTCTGAAATCACTGACAAAACATGCAGAAATCTCTAATGTATCGTACAGTATTTGTAAAATTATGAAATTTAGGAGTAAAGTATAATACATCGAGCGTTCGTTTCCGTGTAGATCTTCTGCATTGCCTCATTTGACCAAGGTTTTTAGCTTAAAAATTTGAAATCGGCAGTAAAAAAAAATTTTTCATACGTCGTATTTAAAAAATGATGAGTACTATGCCTTCAGATTGACAGATTTGAGAAATACTCATACGCAAATTTGAAAAATAGCTCAAAAAATGAAAAAAAATTTCAGCTTACAACAGTAACAGACGAAATGAACTCATGGATTGATGCCTCCTTACAGATTTTGAAAATTTTGGAAACTTGCAACTTTCCTTCTCCACAGCGGGAACAAATGTATGAAAATAATCATGAAGTCAATTGCTGGGTTTGGCGGTTGGTGGAATACTTTGAAATAATAAAAAATATTGATTTCATGGTTTCTCCTAAGATATGTTTGACATTTTTTTTAGCTCATCTCGTAAATGTGCAAATAAAACTTTCTTTCTAGATATCAACCATCAAGAAGACGTATTTTGAAAGGCTATGTAAATTCCTGTGAGCAATTGAAAAATAAAGCTTTTCTTGAACTTTCCATCTAACTTCAGGACAATAAATGGTTTTTGAAATCACACTCTCCGTGATCAATCTGCGGAAAACGTGAAACCCAACATTCCTGAATTCCTGAAACCTTTACGCATAAAGCAGAAAAGACTAACTTTACGAAGAAAGTAATACTGAAAGATTTGATGCGTAATATTAAACTAATGAAGTTCGCAGTTGAATGTTTTTGCCTAAAACCGCGATTGTGTAAGCGTACTTGGTGGCTATAAATGTTTCTTCATGCTTATTTTGTGTGTGAAAAAGATTCCTAGCCAGTGTGTGTCTGTTATATAGCACATATATAACTTGACTGTATACTTTGAAAATGATGATCTCATTAAACACTCATAGCAGCGAATTTCAACTTTGTCAAATTGTGAGACAATATCGCCGAGATTTACATCTATTCCTCTCATCTGATTTTGATCCAAGGTTTCCGACCTTGGGATTCCATTCCGCCGTTTTCAAAATTTTTCGGCGGTAATGTGTACTTCTATCGGGGCCAAAATTAAATAAACGATCCAGGAAAAAGGATTTATCGATGATGATCGCGAAGCAATTCAGTTGATGCGGAAGTAAACCGCATTCTTTCGAGTGTATACTATATACACCTGAACCCAAACCTGCGGCAGCTCGATCATTCATTCGATAAAAGGAAAAAAAAGAGACTCAGACACCGGGAAGAGAGCGAACGAAGTGTCTTCCGCGTCCGGGTCATTTCTTTTACCAGTCAGAGCTTTATATACAGTAGTGTTCTTTTTACGTCATATTCAATGTTAAAAAAAACATCAAAGCGTGACTGCGTAAGAAATTGTTATTTTCTTCCCTCTTTGTCCTCGCCTGTTTCCAGAACATTAGACAAGACTTGTAAGCTGGTTATAACGTCAGATCGCTGGAACGGCGTCATCTAGAAAGTTTTCTGTTGTTTTTGTTTTTAACGAGGTACTCATTTTATTCCTTTTTTTACGCAACGACTCCGCAATTAACGTCAAGTCGTGACTTGGTCGTGGGAGGAATTATAATCTAATAAACCCCGAGGGATAAGTTCAGGAAACGAAGAATCATTTTTTCTTTTCTTCAAATTAATCTCTGCGATGAAAGGAGCAATTTTATGCGCTAGTTTCTTCTGTCGGTCGATCAAAAATCGTGACACTCGCTGACCGCGATAATTTCCCGAGTTTCCGACTTACGGACACTTGATGGATTTGAGCGACTGATGGTGGTGCTTTTTGTTTCAAAGCAAATGGTAATTCGAATTCGAATAAATGCAAATACGCAAATGGTCTTGTCCTGCATGAGCAAACGCTGCTTATTTAAATACGTGTTCCGATTTTTCCTCTGACAAGAATGGCGTCTTTTTATTCGGAGGACTGGGAAGAATTTATATATGCCTTTTGTACAACACCTTCATTAACATGCAGGTTTTCATATCTGCTTTAAAAGCTGCACGTTGATTTATTTCTCAATTTATCAATCTGAAGGCATAATACTCATCATTTTGCACGTTACGACAAATGAAGAATTTTCTTTAGTGCTGCTGTCAATTTTTTAAAGCATGAATTCCTTGGTCAAATTTAGCCATGAGGAAAATCTACGGAAATTAAGGACATCAACCTTTCCTCAATATCTTATACTGTAATCGTGAATGTCAGAATATTTCAAATATCATAAGTTAAAGATTTTTTTTCGTGTTTTTCGGTAATTTCAGAAGCATCACTTTTTAGATGGGCTAAGGGTTCACCAGAAGAACATGGAAAACAATTGGTGGAAATCTTTTACTGCATTAAACCTCAATTTTTGTAATTAAAAAAATAGCGAGAGGCTTTTGGTTCATCTAGAATTCTAGACTTTAATACTGTAATTTAGTATCACTTCATGAACATTTTGAGCGTAAAATATTATGCAACGAATATTTCTGCCCATAAATACATTTTCTCAAGAATATTTTCAAATTTCTGTACGTGGCAGCAACATTTTTGCGGGATGGATCATTCGTATTTTTATCCATTTATTAGTCGAACTTTGACTCGAATTATTTTGCTACTCATCTGTAGTTTTTTTTAGCCTTTTAATGCCCACAAAACAACATCATAAACGTGCGGATTTAAAATTTTCAATTATAATCCAAAAACTTCGCAGTTCTTTTCATTGTCGAACTGAAACTATTTTATGACTAAACAGAATATGCGTATTTTAGAGGAAAACATAATACCGGTCCAGTTTTTTCAGAGGCGCAGTTAAAATGAAGCCATTGGGACCATCAAAAGTCTTTATGAGGAAATTACTTCTATTACTTTGAAACTCTAATAAAATTTTAGATTGAAAAAAATGCATCAAAGACAAGGATTTTTTCTATCAAGAGTGTAATATTGTATGTTGATGGTAACACTGAGAAGTGCGGGGATTTTGGAAGATGTTCCCAAAAGTTGCACACAATTCTGTCTTAGCGAGGGATTATTTCAAGTACTGTAAAGTAATTACCACTTTTTCTGTGCATTTCTTCAAGATGCTGTTGATGATTATGATGGAGTTCTTGAGTACTCTTGATTGCTGGTATTTTCTTGCCAAGCCTTGAAAGAGTTCACATTCTACTGCATCAAGTTCAAGGTTGAATGGAAAAAGGCGGATCCCGAATGTAAATGACCCGAGATGCAATCAACCTTTCTTGTATGAACAAAGGGGAGGTCCGCAAGTTTAAAGACAGCGCATTATTTTCAATTAATAAAAAATACATTCTTTTTTTTTTAATTCTGAAAAGGCTTTCATTCGCTTTACCGCACGTACGTACATCTTGATTAATAAGTGAGGTATTAGTCCAATCGAAAATATGTCTGATTTCAATGAATATTCCGTACAATAAATCTAATCCGGTCGATTCAGGGACACGTCAGTCTTGCTTAAAATTAATTTCGTCTGATTTCAACGCATTCTTCCACGTAAAATCCCAATGAAGTTGCACGCCTCGTCATCGCATGAGACACGGATAGGCTTTTTTGAAGCTATATTTTTATAGCTTGTTGAAATTTGTATATGATGAAAAAAAAACATTTAAAAAGTGCGTTACCTCGGGTTGATGCTTGAACGATAAGTGCTCAAGCCTCGAAATTTATGGGCTATCCTGAGGAAATCTCTCGACGAAAGGTTCTTTCCGGCTTGCTTGGGATTGCTTTTGTGGGGTTCAAGAGGAAGTTGGGTGGAAAGAATATTTTCCATGAGCATTTAGAACACGATATCCGAACTTGGTCTCCCTTCGTACAACAACACGTTACTAACCTCAGACTTAGTGCACTGCTTGTGCACCGTAGATATGTTCCACGTCTTCGAAAAATAAAATAAACATTTTTTTCGTTTTTACTCGCACGCCGAAGCACTTCACGCTCTGTTGAAGGTTTTTCTTTCCTTGTCCTCCTCTTCTTTAAGATTTCCTCCTTTCCTTTGATTCTTTTTGGGGTTTTTTGAATGTTCCAAAAATGTGCCTCAAGGCGATGAGGACTTTTCCCCGTCGTCATTTTACAAATACTGGTACACTGCAATTTTTCCCTGATGGAGTTTTCGACTTCGGTCAAGGAAACTTGCCTGATATTCTGTGATTTAGCATTGATTGTCATGTCACAGGCAGTCAAATTACGATTAAAAATTCGAATAAAGAAGATCTTTCTGAATACTGTATATGCATGAGGGATTTTGTATTTCATTTTCCGTTTGCTCGGTTTTCCATCCGATCCTTGATCAGGTTAGCTGAAATTTTGTTGAACAAGCTGTCAGGCAAAAGTGCCCAGAAAAGGCAGGAAATTTTGCACAGTGGAAGTGATGAATAAGAATCTCAGTTTAGAGTATGTTTTGAAACGGAAACCTTCATCGCAAATTCCTAGTTTTCCAAAGATACTAATTTCTCCTGTTTTTTTTCGAAGTAGACTTTAATAGAATTACAGATGATTCAAAATACATTTGAAAAATGGAGAATTTACACCCAATGGAATAGGAAACGTTCACAAATTCAAAATCATCCGATGATCATTTTCTCAAGACTTCCCTCGATCCACCCTTTTTTCCGCATTATGAATAATATCTTTATTAATTCCACTGCAAAGCTGAGATTTACGGATTTTTATTATTCGGTTCGACCGTATGATGCAAGCATTTTCTGTCAATTCCGTAGATTATTTATAACATATCGATCAAAAAATTCAGTTTCTTTCTCTCGCACACTCTTGCGGTTTTCTGGAAAAAAAATTTAAGATGACAATGAGTGAAGTGAGGCGTTCGGTCATGATTCGGTCAAATGTTTGCGAAAGTCGCTAATCTGATGAACGCTCCAAATTGAATTAAAGTGAAATGCAGGACAACCTTAAAAGCAAAATTAAGCTAGGGAAAATGATAAATGTTGAAAATTTGTCTCAGCTGTAGTTTTTCTCAAGCAGAATCTCGAACTCCATGTCGTTTAATTAGGTCAACCATAGAACTAGTTTCCATAATTGTTGAAAAAACATTATGATATTTTCAAATTAATATTTTTTGTGATGGAGTTACTGTATTTCCAGAATAGAACATTTTTTTAAATACGCGTTGAATAAAGATCCAGAAAAAGTTTGACAATGAGTGCGTTGAAATGGGAAAGTAACCTTTTTCAAAGTTGTCACTGAGATTCAGTATTACACACAATTCCGCGCGATTTTTTATGTGGATTCCAATAAAAATGAAAATCTGTGTCTTGGTGTTTCCGGTGTGAATTTTCACAAAGAGAAGCGAGTGAAACTTCATTTCGCAGATTTGTTACTATAAAATATCTTACAGGTTTAGGAGCGGTACATGTTGTACTCGTATTTATTTGTGAAGAATTTCTCCAAGATATGTAAAATTGACAAAAATACACGGAATCACTGATTCAACGCTATGAATCCGTCCGGGTTTATTTAACGCTTATTCAGCGATGCAATTTCATGGAAAATCTAAAAAACTCCTTTCCCTCGATATCACAAATTTCCTAATCATCCGTTTGATTGCCATTGCTTCCGGTGCTGGGGCTTCACACGTGTCGTCCTCTTCCTTTTCCGGCGCCCCTCGTGGAATCGCCGCCCGACGACTTTTCCGGCGCCTCTGGAAAAGTGCGTTGGTTCCCAGAGGGGCCTCTTTCTACTTCTTCTGAAGAAGGGGGGTTTCAAAAGTCCTTCGATTCTAACAAAAATCATTTCAGGCAGATGAAGACTATTTTTTTAAATTAAATGATTCGCTGAAAAAGTCGGCGAAGTTGAGATGCAACCAGGCATGATTTGAAGGCCCTCCAATGCTGACCTTGCCGTGGTTGAATCACGAAACATATTTTCAAAGTGTTAATGTGTGTTTTTTTTTGTGCAATCGATTTCCGGTTTGGGTCAGCATTCTCCCCTGAAATTTGCTGCAACAACTGTACTTCAGTAAATCTTGGCTAAATTCTTCAATCTAGCTAAATTTACAATAATAAACAGAATTGCTCAAATCAGAGGGCAAAAATTCCGGTTTCCCAACATGAAAAATTACATAATTTAAAATGTTTTCTTTCGTTTCTCGGGATTAAATTTGGATAGGTCAAACTGGAATACAGTACGCGGCCTTTTCAAGTCGAAATTTAAAAAATAATAACTTGGAGGTTTTTGAGTTGGAAAAGTGTCATAAAAGCGTTCTTTTCCCATTTTTAACGTCTTTCCATATTAACCATTATAATTTAGCGTCCTGTTTTCTCTGGAATAGAAGTTGGAATAAGACCGTTCCCATGTAAACGGGCTAATAAGCGAGTCTCCTTTTCAAAAATCATCAAGTTATATATTTATTGCTCTTTTTTATGAATCCCCAGAATAAAATCCTAAAGCCTTTTCAAAATTTGAGTTGATGTTTGAGAGAGAAAGTCGGGTCTATTTTAAAACGCTTTTCATAATTAAATTAATACATGAACCAAACACACATTTGCCGAAGAGAGATTTCTGACTTCACAAGGTCAAATTTAATACCGTGATGGAATAAAACTTGATATTTTCTTTACTGCATTAGAAATTTCAATTTCAACTGACCAAGGTTGCAATTATAATATACAGAGACAGAATTGAAAAACATCACCACAGACAGAATTTAAAAAATAAGCACTGTGAGGAAATAGGGTATATCTGCCCCTCTTGCATATTTTATGTTTTTTTTGCAGTCGACGAGTCAATGAAATGAAGAAAATAATTTCTGAATCAAATTCAGACATGGACTAAACAAAAATTCAACTTATAAGGGATGCTTTTGATTTACTGAAGGAGGGTTCAGCTTAGGAAGGTCCGACTGTATACTAGACAATAATGGAGGAGGTGGAAGACTTCCAAAAAGCCCCTCATAAGATGTAAAAAAAAAAAGACCAAGAATAAGGCGATGGTGAATGTTGATGGAAAGGGACTTTTGCTTCTTTTTTTTCCTTCTCTTTCCGGGGTTTGCCAGAAGGCAGAGGAAGCGAGCAGCAAGACCGAGTTCCCGTATTTTTATTCCACTGGGGGCGGCTGTTGCTCAGTTTCAGCCTGGGTTCGTTGGACGGCGGCGGCCGCGGCCACTTTCGCTTCTCTGCTCCTTCTTCCTCTCTATATCTTTCCCCGTTACGAAACGTATCCCAATTTGGAGGGTTTGCTTCTTTTTTTTTTCTTCTTCTGCTCTGTTCTGTTTTCGTGCTCTGTGGTTTCTGCCGTGATTTTTTTGTGTGCAATCATTTCCTGCTCTCGGGCTTTGAATATTTCAAGGCACTGCAGGGATTTATCATTGCTTGCTGACTGAGTGACCATGCAAACATATTTCCGGTGGGCGAATGTGGATATCTGTATCACTCTTAAGTATAAGTCTTGATTATGGCTATAGGAAATTAATTAGGGGTCCAAGAGTCATTCGGTTGCAATTTTTTCCCTTTCCTTTCTGAATTCTTGAGCTATGCTAGTTTAACGTGAGTCTGTTGTACAGGATCTTGAGTATTTGCCTGTTAGCGTTGGCTTGAGTTAACTTTCCTTCCTTGGGCTGATTTTGTAAGATTAGGTGTGTCAGGTTCAGTGGCCTCTGCAGGACTAAGTTTACTGATGTACTGTATATATGGTCCAGTTATTTTTGCATAATTTTAATGGAATTAATCGGTATATGTTCCATTATTTATCCACTTTATATCACCCCATTTACTATAGCCAAATTTTGTTATGCAGTAGAATCTTTTTTTAAATTGTTGATTGCAAAAAAATTTGATTTTAAGATCCATATTTGACAACAGTTTAACTTGAATATCTCTGAAGCAATTTTTTTAATAAAGCTGTTTTCTGGTCCTATTCGCTTGGGAATAACAAAACTTCAATCTAAAAAAAGTGATCTTGAAAAATATTCAAAAGTCTGAAAAAAATAAAATAAAAAATCTTCCCAGAAGAATAAAATAATGCAGCAAGTTTTAAAGATACAGTTCAAAAAATATTTTTGGCGGTTTATTCATTATTTCCATGACAAGAAATTGCATGGGTATTGCTCAACTACGAAAATATACACAGAAACTTCAATCTTTAAGAGTTAGTCATAAAGGATTAGTGTGGTCACGATTTTACCATTAACTTACCTTTTAATGTCTGCAGTAGCTCTTCTTGTAGACCACCGCTAACATTAGTGGATAAACTTTGGGACTGATAGATGGACTCATTTCTAACAAAATTCTAATGGGGTACGGGGAATTTCGTTAATTTGTTTGATTATGTCCTGCTATGGCGAGACAAAATCAGATGTGAATGACTGAATCTCTGTTATAAGAAAAAATGAACGTTTTCTTGAATGATATGGTCTAAACACATTTTTTTGGTGTTCCTGCACGTTTTTGCAATATATGTGAGTTTACCAAGATTATGAATCTAACATTTGCTTCTTGGAAATAACTTTTGGTGAAATGAGTTGTTCATGATATTGGAATATCACACTCCGCAAAACACATAATTCTCGCATTACAAGAGCAAAAGCAATAAAATACCCTCAAACATATTTCCATTCACGTTTTGCGTTTTTTGTGTAATACAGTATACTGTATATACAGTCTTACGGAACGAAAAAAAATAGATCACGGGTATTAATAAAATTTATTTTTTGGTTTTAAAATTGTGTTCATCCCGTTTATAATAAATGCAGCTGTAGATAACTTCATGGGAAAGAAAAATGCGTCTTTGTTGAGAAGAACAATTTGAATGAGCGATCAGATTATTTTTTCCGCGTTCCTTTCAAAAAATACGATCATAGGAGCGATGTCATGTCCACATCGGCTCCATTTCAGCTTCATTTAACTTACAGGAAAAGCAGGAATACTGTAGTAGGAAACAACTGCCTTCTTATCTTTTGACCCCTTTAGGACTTTTCGACACCCACCACTACTGTAGAAATCCTACCCTTGAAAGTGACATACATGCTGCGTCTTACGCACGCTTACTAGAAAGTTCTACTTGACACCATCAGACAATGCGACCTGGTTCTAAAAAAAATAATAGTACATTTTGTTTCACTACTTTTCTCTAGACTGTTTGAATAGTTACAGGAACGTCCATTATTTCTTTTGAAGTACGAATGCATCTTTTCGACTTTTGTAAGAAATTACACCAGAAAAGAAATTGCTGAATTGCTCGAGTAAAATGATGATTGAGGGGCTTGATAAACGAATAAACTTTTTTTTCCGAATGTCTCTAAAACGAAACTTGGTTTAGAAACTTCAATTTTCCACCTGCCGATAGTTTCATGAAATTTGTCGTTCTTATCAAGAATTTGAAGAAATTATATTCTTCGGTTCAGCTTGCCACTCGTCGTTAATCCACTGCGAAAAGCTAGAGAATATTGAAGCGTTAAACTCATTTTTCAAAAAATCTGCTCAAAATGATTACCCGTAGACATTTATAAAACTTCCGTGGAAATTCGTCGTCTTTCTACGTAGATACTACAAAATAGACGGTAATAATAAGCTGTTTAATATCGTTCCCTTATGCAAATTTTTTATCATCAAGTTAGGTTTGGTCTATATACAGAACTTGCTCATTTGTGTATTTAGTGTTCTGGTATTTGATGTTTTGAAAACTAGTCTTTTTATCGCTTTTGATTCTCGGTAGAAATGTACTTGTTTGTAATTGTTTGTTTGTGACTGTGCTTTGAGTTATGCTCCTCAAAAATGTTTTCTTTTTTAGCATTCCTCAGTTTCATTCGTGGTGTCGAGACTTATTTGAGAAATCTTCGTGTAATACAGTTGCATTTGGACTTCCCTAATTCGAAGTCCATGCAGTTAATTCCTGGCCATTTCCATAGTATCTAAAATGCAATTGAAACATCCCAAATGCGTCACTTTCTCGGGCCAAACTTCCTCTAGTCGAATTTTCAGGGCCATGCTCTCATTAAATTAACTAAATTTTCGGAAACTTCTTCCAGCAAAAGGCAAATTATTTCTTTTATGCTTTTCGCTACGAATTAGGCATCTTCCTGCAGATGGGACATCAATGGAAAATGGGTAGTTCTAATAAATTGGAAATAAAATAATTTTCATTTATTACCAGCCAATACTCAAACGAAGCCAAATTTCTCATATTCTGTCAGTTTCTTCAAATTTGACTTTGAGACTTTCAACTGTATGCTGTAACTATTTTCTTGATTTCTATATTCAGTTTCTCTTTTTTTATTTTCCTGTGGACTAGAAGTAGGCTAAGATTGGGACGCCGAAGTGATCAAAAAAAAAAAAAAAGAGAGCCCCAGATGGGCATCGGTTTGTGAGAAAGACTCGAGTTGTGACGGTACCATCTCAGCTGAGAAATTTGCATGTCCGAGATGAACGGCTCGGCCGTGAAGAGTGCTGTTCCAGTGTCGGACGGGAGACAGACTCCGACGTCGACGTCATCGTCACCGACAGCGTCGTTCAACGACACCAGTGACACCAATGGCATCCTGCAGCAGCAACAGCAGGGATCGCCGCCGCCGTCGGACGCCGTCATTAGGACGGAGACGGCGGCTCCTGCTCCAATTAACTTCGCCACCGTGAGAGTTATTTTCTTCATCTGCTTCTTCTTCTTCTTTTTTTTCAGTGATGATCGCGGGAAGATATTTTTTTCAGCTGATAACGCATGACACACTTTTATTAGGTCAACATGTCACATCTGACACCCATTTTGTATTACAGAAGTGCATGGAATTCCATTAAGAATGTACGTTTAGGAAAATTTTCTTGCATTCCCAAAGCAATTCAATATTTAAATCCTTGTTCAGCAAAGAAAATTGTATGCGAAAAAAATTAAAAGACGATGTTGGCTAAGATGTGTGCAATTCTTTTTCCAAAAAAAGTGGGATATTGCACTAGAGCTATCGAAAAAAGTTACATGATTCATCATAATTATTGAAGTCTATATAATCTACGGAGAACGATTAAATTTATTTTTCAGAGATGGGAACTTCGAATATTTCAGCATCCCGAATTATATTCTTAGTCCCCACAATTTTGTTATTATGGCTTTCTATCTGCACTATATACAGTATTCGTAACTTTTCCGCATACGTTTCAAAATGTTTGTTAGTTGAACAACAGTTGCTACGAATAAACGGTGATACACATATGCTGCTCAATTGTTATCTAGATCAAAAGGCCTGAAAATTTTGATTCAGACAGCAACAGAATGTTGAATGACAGATGCTTTCAGCAGGATCATTTCTGTTCGGAACTGCAAATAATTTTCTGAGAATGTGATCATTTTAATTAGATGTCACAATGTCATCCTATTAAAAATGTATTATCCCGATGTCGTTGTCACTGATTCCAGACTGATGAAAAATTTCCGACACGAATGAATAAATGCGTCAGGTCTACTTGTTCATTCATGTGAACGGTCAAGTACACAACTTTTCTCCAATCTGTCTTCAAAACATTCTTGAAATTTCATGTTTCAAATGAAATCGACCGAGCAATAAACGTCTCAACATTGTCATCATACTTCGATCAATTACATAAATATTTTTCTGATGATACATCTCTGTGGAAAATGTGCGAAACGACTGGAAATTGTTGTCAAATTTTCAAAATATTCAATCTCTGTTGACGTTTTTGTCCTAGTAATAGGAAAACGAAGAAAATTACTAATCACGAGAGGAAACAAACTTCAACTGAAAAATATGAATGTTCGACGCGGACGTTCAGTATAAAAATGAATTTAGTCCAATTCAAAATTCCCCAAATTAAATCGTGGCTTTCAAAAAAAGTAAAACACAGTGCCCCAATCAGTCAAAAATACATACATGAGCTTTTCTCTGTCACACTTGGATAATTCATGAGATAATTCATTGGATAATTCATCTTCTGTGATGAAGCGAATCGAATCGATTTTTTTCATGACAGTGTTAATTCGGTCCATTTCAGTTTTTCACGGATTTTTCTGGTGAACGCATATTACCAGTAGAATATTACTTTGCAGTACTGTACTTGAAATTGATTCTGTAAAACCAGGCTATCAAGGATGAAAGGTGGTATTGAATTTTATGATCTCACGATTGATGTGACGTTCGTCCTGGCGGAAGACATTTGTGTACAGAGGACTTGCAAAAATTGTTATGCGTAATTTTGCGCGAAATAATTGGACCAAGTAATTCATCACGTGCAACGTTCCGATGATAGCGACGTTCACACACAATAAACCGGACTTCCGGGCTTTCACTGCCTTGGAAGTACAGTAGTTCTGAATCAAATGCTCTGAGTGAACCGAACCTCGCCTCCGGGCAATCATTTATTTCTTTCCCCCTGCCGACTGTTCCTGAATTTATTTATATTTATTTATTTTTCTATATATGTATATGGAGAGATAGAGAGAGGATTTTATGCCGAGAATGTTGCAATTGAAAGTTTGGTCTCGTTTCTTTCTTCCCCATGCGCACAGGTGGTGAATGACCTGCGAACCACTTTCCAATCCGGCAAAACGAAAGACGTGAGCTTCCGGATTCAACAGCTCAAGGCTCTGCAACGGATGTTGAAAGAGAACGAGATGAAGATCGTTGAAACTGTGCAGAAAGACCTGCGAAAGGCGAGTCTCATTTTCCGTCAAATTTCCTTCCATAACCAACTTTGTCAAATTTTGCCACCGATAGAAAAAGAATTGCAAACGAATTGGCATACCAGTTTAATATAAATGGTTGTTTAACGTTTGGATATCGCTAATTTCTAATTTTTCTGAAGCATAAAAATGAGTACCGCGTGAATGCGAATACAGGAAGACTGTTAGCCGAAATCGGAAGCACGTTGATCATTTCATGGCTAAAATTTTCTCATTTACATCTTTATTTACTGTGACAGTTTTGAATTCGAGCGAATTAATCTTTCTTTGAACAGTTGTGCATTTCGTTCCTCTCGATCAGGGTCTGAGCAATTTCATGCTGAGTACTGCAATTCAGTAGTAAATGATAAAAAAAACATTCACAAGAGGCATGATAAATTTGAAGAAAGGATAAGATCATATGAAGCAAAAGAGTGGTTGCTTGAAAAATTTAGAACAACTTATAAAATAAATCAGTTGGAGCAGAATGATCTATCGCAAAAAGCCGAAATGCGAAATGCTGAATAGTCCAGCAAGGTTTGAATCAAACCTGCATTTTGCTGGACTCATCATCAACATACAACACTTCAAAAATTTACGAAGTTTTCGTGCAGAATCACGCATTTATCCCATCAAAAATAAAGTGTAAAAGTTCCTTTAGAAAAAATGTATTGGTTTTCCCCTCATGATTACTGCATTAGTAAAACGGGAGGAAATGACGAAAAAATTAATTTTTTGTACTAGCTCAAGTTTGTTATGAGGCGAGATTAATTAAGCTTTTTTCCATGCATTTTTTTGGAGAGTCTGAAGAAGAAACAAAAGTAATCAAAAACTCGTTAGAACGGAATTTTAAGCGCATTTCATTTCATTCCTCGTGTCGCCTGATTTATTTCCAGCCGGCGATGGAAATTCGTGGCAGCGAAATCGACTTTTGCGTGAACGAAATCGAAGTGATGCTGCACAACATTCACGACTGGACGAAAGAAAAACGAGTGCCCAAGTGCATGGTGACTTTGTTCGACAAGCCGAGTCGTCGGCCAGAGCCCTACGGGGTCGCCCTCGTCATGGGCGCCTGGAATTACCCGGTGTCGCTGACGTTCACGCCGGTCACCGGCGCCATCGCCGCCGGCAACTGCGTCGTCATCAAGCCGTCCGACGTGGCGCCCAACACGGCGCAGCTCTTTTCCGAACTCATCTCCAAGTACCTGGATTCAGTGAGCAAATGAGAATTATCTCGAAACTCTGCGTCTTGATTCGAAAAGGAGAGCCTCGATTTTACACTCAGGAAATGAACAATTTGGACGTAGCAGGAATGATTTCGCCGAATTAGTTGCCACAACAAAAAAATCACTGATTGATTAGTACTTGTCAAGTCTGCGAATTTCAAGATTTTTTTGTATTATAAAACGAGCTGAGTCGAAAGCCGCCATTTTCGGATTTATTTTTCTGCGCTTTACGAATTCCTACACATTTTAGAGCAAAAATTAATTTAATGCGCAGAAATATAGAAAGCTGAATGCGGCTTTTGATTTTATACTCATCGTATTTCATGAAGAGAGAATAAATCCTAAAATCCTCAGCCGATTTTGAGCAAATCAACTTCATTCTTTCCGTGACTTACCAGCGAAAGTTCTTAGAGATTTTTTTTCTTGCAATTGTTGGCAGAATTCTGTTTAAAAAAAGGGGCTCTGATATATGTCGTAATGGGATTTTTCATTCATACTTTTCTTTCTTCCGAATTTCCTGGAACCCGTTGTTGCCCAATTCTTAGAGCTGTTACAAAGTTGTTTGCGGCGGCGTTGCTGAAACAACGGATCTGCTCAAACAACGCTTTGACTACATCTTCTTCACCGGCGGCTACCGGGTGGGGAAAATCGTGCGCGAGGCGTCCAATCGCCATCTTACTCCGTGCACCCTCGAGCTCGGCGGCAAAAGGTTGGACCTATACTGCTGCGTTCCTTATTTTTCTACCTTCTTTCTTTACTTTTTTAACCCTTCTGCGGCGAAATTGGAATTTTTTCGCAGGAATTTCTTTATAAACACTTTTAAACCCCTGAGCAGAAAAAAACCTCTTACAAGTCTTTGTGCTGAAAAGGGTTCTCAAAAGAAAACGGTCGAAAATAATTTTTTGGAAGAAATCTCGGGTCTCAGAATTGAATATGTTCCCATTTAACGAGGAAAACGTGACGAAACAACATGGGGACGGTTTAAAAAATACTGCTTGTTTTAGTCACGTTCCATTTCATTGCTCGTTTCACTTTCTTTCTCCATATGGGAAATTCAATTTTTATAGTAATTTCTAACCTGTTTGACCACCTGTTTGAGCTTAGTTTCACTATAAACATTTGAATGTCATTCAACTCTACAAAATACGTTTTGTCAAGAGTTCTTAAACTTTCGAATTATTCCATGGGGTCTTCCTCGATAATGTTCCCAAGATTTCAAAAAAAAAAAGAAATTTGCGATGTTACGGAAATATTTATTCTCCGACCTGAGCAGTTTAAGAACTTCGAGGAACTGACTTTTCGATTTATTTCGTTTTAATTTTGTAGCCCGGTTTATTTGGATGATTCGGTGAATAACATGGACATCGCTGTGAAGAGGATAATCTGGGGAAAGCTGGTGAATGCTGGACAAAGTTGCATAGCTCCAGATTACATGCTTTGCACTAGAGAAGTTCAAGACATTTTCGTGAACAAAGCCAGAGAATTGATCAAAGAATTCTTTGGGAACAAGCCGCAAGAATCAGCAAGTTTCGGCCGAATCATCAATAACTCGCATTTCCAGTTGAGTCACGCAAATTTATTTTAATGTTAAATATTAGTTCTGAGAAATTCAAATACATTTTTTATTATTTTCTCATCAGGAGATTGACGGGATTATTGCACAGCGGAGTCGTGGCTGTGGGCGGGGATGTGGACCCATCTGATTTGTACATCGCCCCCACGATTTTGGTCATGCAGTTTGGCCTACTAGGACAATACGTTCTTCTTTATAAGCCAGGCTAAGACGGGTAGTAGTTACACCTGAGACGATTTCTTCGGTACCTGAAGTATTTACGGTCCACTCTTACTACCTAGACTTTGAGAAAACGGCGTTCATTTTCTCGCATCTCATTAAAATTAAAATATATGGTTCCTAACATACATTATTGTGGTTCATAAAATTTTCTCAACACCCAGGAATTAAATTTTTTGAGCACCAAAATTTTAGAATGAGAAATCCCAGACATGAAATGAAAATTGGAATAATGGCAAGACAGGGTTTTCCGGATTTGCACTCGGACTTACTCGATTTCCTGCTCACCTATTTTGGCATTTGAGGCCAACCCTTATTTACATTAAATATCGTGAACGATATGTTTCAAGTATCGGAAGTTTTTTCTCACAGCCACTTAGTTGTCTCGGAAAAATCATCACGAAGTAATTTTATTGATTATTTCAATCATTTGATAATGCTTAGACTATCTAACTTCGTACAAGGAAGGGAATTAAATTTCCTTGCAATGAAAAATATCACCTTAATTTCTCTGCTTCATTAGTTTTTCTTTTTTATCTGCATGATCACTCATATAAGAGCGATGTTCCGGATATGATCAGATTTTATTCCATAAAATAAATGCAAATATTTGCCAAGACTAAAACAAAAAGGAAAACGCACGGGCGAAAAGCTCAAAAATCCGTGAACCACTTATTTATACGATAAGCTCACATACACATGATTGTTTCGATAAAATGTTCACGCAGAAATTTAAAATATCGCTGTTGTAGTAAGTAAGTAAAATTCAGGAGTTGCGGGTCACTTTAATAAAATTTACTATTTACCATACTACGCAAAATCTGCGCTATCAATTTGAAGGAATTAAGAAAGTCCTGAGAATTCAAATTTAAGGACGGTATTCAGCTTTTCAGAAGTAAAAGTTTTCATCAATTTTAAACCTAATGAGCCTCTGACTCCTCTTCAAATGTGCTGTTGAATAATTAAGTCGTAAAACATTTTGGCGAGACAAATATAAAATACCTGACACATTTTTTGTAAAATATTTAGCCAATGAAGAGATGGAAGCGTGAATCAAGTCAAGTTAAACTCAAACTATAAGAATATAGTGTAGTGAAAAATTCGACTTCTTTCGGATAAACAATCTTTTTCAACATATGCCAGCCTTCGACAGATGAAGGCGAATGTAGCGTCAGGTCTGACGTAAAAAAAAAGTTAGTTAGCTGTAAGAACCCCTCATTCTTTGCGTGAATCAAAGTCAAAACTTGGGAGATAGAAAGTAGTCCGTTATGAGGTCCAGCATTTTACGTTACGGTCTCGATGCCTAATTTGAAGGAGAAGGCACCGGTTTTATCTAACGAGTGAAAACTCGTCGCTAGTCTCGGGATTACCTGAGGCGTACATCATTTTCGTGATCTGCTCGTCTCTCTCTCTTTCTTCACTCTTTTTTACATCATTTTTTATTCATTTATGTTTTCCTTTTTTTCCTACAGAGAAAAGCCGCTTACTGTCTATTGTTTCGCGAGCAACGCCAAGACCATTGAAATGCTCAAGTTCGGAACTTCCAGTGGCACGTTCGTCACGAACGACAATCTCGTTCACTTTCTCGGTAAGAAACCCGACAAGACTTTTTCTATTGTTTCTTCATTTTCTGACATCCTTGCTATGTAGTCAGCTCTTGTCTTTTCTGACAAGCTTGATCATCCCACGCACATGTTGCGGGAATTGTTCGGGATTTTGAAAATGTTGATGATTTACGAAATACGCTGGGAAAGCGTTAGCAAATAAGACAAAAAGACTTTCAAGAAGCTGTCAGTTGAACTAGACGTCATTAAGCGCCACAAATATTTCTGCAGAATTTTGAGAATGCTACTGTTTTGTGCAGAAAAATAAACTATTGTTCACTTGATGACAAATCTCAATTTCTTCGACGGTTTAATACGCTGAGCTCAGTGTTTGTATGATGTGATTCTATAATGAGATTTAGAATATTTTCAAGCCTTCGTGTGCTCATGAATTTGGTAGAAAATCTGCTGTACTGTATATTAGGTCTGTTTTAAAGCACGGAGTTTATAAACGTTACAAAAGTACAGTACACGTAAATGGGAATCGATAATGAGATTTTCGATGCGCTCATCGAGTTCATCTGTGATATTACTATGAATTGTTCTGTCGAATATGCTGCAAATATGTTTTAGTATCAGGCCTCTTTGATGATAATTTACGGAAAATTATGGAATAATAAAATGTCTAAGCAGTAATCGGCGCTAAATGGTCGCAAATGCTTTGTAAATTTAAAGCTGAGAATATAATGGGAAATATTTGACATCCGAAAGAAATTCTACAAAATATTATTCAAAATTGCATCAAGGTAGCCCAAATTTTCTCAAGTTAATGAATATATTTTTCGATACTTTCGTTTCACGAAAATGAACCGAGAAATTTCCTGGCAGTTTTGCTGGGTTCATTTACTTTCAAAAATTTGAGCATGTGCCAGATGCCAAATTGCAGTAGCACATGGCGCAAGTTGGAGTAAATTCAGAAGAAAAAGATTATGATTTCTATGACCGTTGCAAATTTCGAATCTAAAATCGGGAAGCTTCAAGCATTTGCAGAATGATAGCTACAGTACTACAATATGAGAAAAGCTACTTGTGTGGTCCGTTTTCTGCGCAATTTTCATTTAAGATACAGTACTAGAATAATGTACAATCCTGAGGTTTTCGACGCTCTGATCATTTTAAATGATCGGAATCGTAAGGGTTCATCTTTATTTGAATATAAACACTTCAAATTTAAATTGGCAACGCAGAGAATATCATTTTCCACGGTTGTTAAAATTATGGTCTTAACTTTTTTTGCTTTCGCGGAAGCACCAAGAAAGTATAATTATCTTCGGCGTACTTTCGACAAGAATTGGTGCACGATGTGTAGTAAAAGTTTGTTCCCAGTGACTTTTGACACATTTTTAGAAGCGACAGACTGGATTTTTTCTGGTCACAGTCACGCTTATTCCGCGCCGCCAGTTTTGAGCATGTTGACTACACTACATATAATACAGTACTTATTCGCCGGAATTTATTTTACTACAATCGTTCTTAACTTATCTTAACCTAAAGAGAAAAGCAGAACAAGGTGCAACAAATAAGCCATTACGCTTTCTTAGGCCAGGCAATTGAGAAGACTTACCTTGAAGCTAAAAAAAGACAAGTAACGAGGGAATATCGTTCCGTTTTTTTTTATCCCGCAGACATTTCCGATTTTTGGGGAAACTGACCAGGAATAAGTGGAGGCTTGTTCATTGTTTGGTTTAGTTCGAAAAACTGATTTTCAATGAGCTTAAGGATCTCGATAATCAGTGATTTTGATGCAGACTTTAAATTCCATTGTACTTTATAACGAACCCGAAGGCGGGATTTCTAGAAAATACGCAGAACCAAAATAATGGTTGATCCTAAGATTAGATTCAAAGCAATATCAAATTTCAGAAAGTATCAGCTGGAAACAATACCGACAATGTCGACAAGTGATGAGAGAAAAAAGAGAATGAGGTTTTCATTATAAAGCATTCAGAATTTTCCTTGGTATAGACGAAATGCTGAGGATGTGAAGAATTTCGTGAATGAGGAATCATTTCCATATACGGGCATCCGATTTTCATATTACTGTATTGGGTTGTTTTCCCGGGTCCACTGACATGTTCCAGGAAATTTGGTCGAAAAATCATTAATACTGTACAATATTTATGAATATTTTTGCTGAACGCTCTGAAAATCTAAATATATTTTGCAATATTTGTTGCCTTGAATGACATCTTTCAAGTCTTCATCAGCAGCATTTACTGTGTTTTGATTCATGTTTCACGGCTCAAGTCCTGTTCTAAAGCATTTTTTCTCTCCATAAAATAGATAACGGGCTTTTCAAACTAAAGTAATTTGATGTTCACTAAAGTGGTGGGCATTAATTTGAAAATAATTACACTCTTGCTATTGAATTTCTTCATCTTTTTTTACACTTTACGAAGGTAAAGTATTTATATCACATCGCCTAATTATATACTGTATTTCAGCATAGGCATGTATCGGTTCTCATTTGTGAGGAAAATAATGAAAGTTTTCATTATTTTTTTAACTGGTGCCATTTTGAAGTAAAGAACTTTTTGATACTCTTTATGATTTTTTTTTCCTGATGCTGTACGATTGTTTTCGTGGATAATTTTTGCAATCAGCAGTCAGCACATTAATGCTCTTGCGCCGATTTAACGTATACGACCAAAGTTGGAAAACAAGGAAATATATGTCATTCTAAATAGCTTCGCAATATGCATACAGTATATTGCTGTACAGTAGAAAAATAAAAATTTTCAAAAAATGACAGTGAAATCATTATGCAATGAAGCATTATCGACTACAGATACATCCGTAGCATGACATAATTTTGTCTGGATTCAAGGTTTGAAGGGCTGACGATTTATTTCTGTTCCTTTTTGCTGCTTTTTACAGTAAGCAATCTTCCTTTCGGAGGAGTTGGAGAAAGTGGCATGGGACAATATCACGGAAAAGCCAGTTTCGACACGTTTTCGCACACCAAATCCATTCTGAACAAGGATTACAACCGCTTGGAGGAACGCATAGGAAGGTATAATTTTTGTTCAGGAATGTTACAATATAGTCATTAAAGAAAACGTTTTATGAAGCTATGGTGTTTCATAAGCGTCTCATTTTGTTATTGTGTTTTTCAATAATTATTTTTTGAATTTTTGCAGCGTTCGTTATCCGCCATTCTCGGAGAAAAAATTGGACGCAGCGCGATTTTTGATGAAGAAACGACGTTTCGTTGGCATGGAATATTTGCCTTACGTGTTATTCTTCCTGCTTGGAGT